TTGTAGCAATAATTTTCCGTGCACAAATAATAATGCTGAAAACTTCGTGGCGTGACTACCACTACAATTATTAATTTCCCCTTCACTAGTATATAAAACATGTTAACTCGATTTTATCTTGAGGTTTCTTATAAAAGATGACGGTTACCATTGTCAGTAACAAACATACTTCCCACATTGGAAACCTTCGGACATGAACTGGACACTCCTCTATGGACTGTAACATCCACTTCAAATTGAATTAACTTGCTCTTTGTGATTGTGATATTGCACTCCTCATGCTGTTGTTAATTGGTCTCGATCGCACACAACGGGGACTCTGTACCATAGAGTTGAAATACTGGGTCAACTCTATGGTCTGTACACACTGCTAATGTAAATACAGAAGCAACAGCGCACACAACCGTTATCTTAATACAGCTCGCACCGCTCAAAGTCCTGTGATCTTAATAAAGCTCTCCCAATCTCTCGCAAAAACAGCAAGGGATCATATAGTGATATCCATTAACTGGAATCTATCACAGATAAAATTCTGGTGGGGGTAATGGAGAAAAACTACCACTACGTTTTTTTCAATTCCAATTCAGAACTCTGCTGCCGTGTAATTGAAAAAAATAAGTGCTTTACGATAGATTCCGAGAAAAGAGACTTGACAACTTTTTTCTTTCTATTGCTAATGCTGTGAACGCTAAAATACAGGGGCAGCAGCGTTTTTAGAAACTGCTTTAAGGTGCTTATTTTTGATTTCCGTTTTTCAAAAGTCTTTAAAGGTTTCTTTTTTTTTTCATTGGCTGTTTTTTGTTTTTTTCATAGATAGTTCAATAGATTTTTCTTTACCGCGTTGATTTTCGCCTCGAATTATACAGAAAGACATGATTCTATTAAAGTTGCAATTCATTCAACCCCAGTCTTTTTCGGCATACCGTCAGTTCGTAGCTTTATGAAAACGCCAATCGTTTCACATGTTTGATGAAATACTTGCGGGTCCGCGTGTGCGTATACTGAGCGGGATTCAGTGGGGAAGATTTGTGCCCTCTCATGTGCAACTCTGCTGCATTTTGGTAGAGATTCTCGATTTCAGGCTTCATTTTCCGCCTTCTGAAATCGAACTGAAAAATCTCTCGAATTTTCACTAATTTCGGGAACCAACTAAACATAGTTAAAAAAAAATCTTTCTAATAGCGATAAGAAATTTTATTTCTCTTCTTAATCTTATCGTTGGTCACGTGCTATCATCTTCGTCACTGCCAAGCTAAAGGCCTCGAGATATTCTATCTTTAGATCAGTACAATAATCTTTGAACTTGACTTGGGGTTCATTCACTAATTACGTATCTTTATTAGGTCCCCCGAGTAGTCAAGAATTCCAAGACTTCATCACCTCAAAATTTCCCTCTCCCTTNCTGCTCCGTGAGAGCTGGGAATTGAACCCAGGGCACCTGATTGGTAATTCTTTTTCCGTTTCACTAAAGTTATGCCTCCTTAACAATTTTATTTTATAACGGTTATTGAACAATTTTTGATTCACGACAGTCAATGTTCAACTACAAAGCCTTGTAATTTTGAATTTGATAGAAATTCGATAGTCCATCCAAAATTCTCGTTAACTCACCAACGAAATAAAATTTAATGGCTAAGACAAGTTATTATTGACCTGCAAACCACAAGTTTTAATTTATGAGTTAGGTAAATTGAAAATATCAAGCATAATATTTTTACTTCAGGGACCGTCCACCAATTGCATAAAATTTTTGCAAAAAATTTATTGTACTTTATTCCCTTTTTGTTTTACTTATTACTTTTCATTAATTATTATATTATTACTTTTAAAATTGTCACTTTTAAGCTGTTTTATGATATAACTATATAATATTTAGTGCCAAGGTATGAAAGAAGCATTAAGTGTGGAGCTTTTATGTTTTAAATGCTGCAAAAATCTTATGTTTAGTTATGTAAAAAAATCAGATTTGCCATTCCAAAAAACTGTAATTCATATCTTAATGATTTTATTTAAAAGCAGTTGAAATAAAAAAGTAAATTTTCTCAGATATGTTAAATATTAAGAATGTAGGGTAAAAATGTTTAGCTTCAATACTCATTGTGTTTAAATTTCAAAATTATTGTAATTTTTTTTTTTTAACATTTTATTAAAGAAATTTAAATTCTGCACCAAGTAACAAAGAATAATAAACGTTTTTAGGAGCCATTCACTAATTTACTTTTGTAATATGAATTTTTTTTAGTTTGCTTAATTGTTTAGAGATCTATATAAATTCGCTATGATTAATAATATTAATCTTGTTAATATTTTGTGGAATATATTTTAATAAATAACTTTTATTTGAATCTGAAAATTTATATATTGTCGTGCTTTCAAAATATTTATCTAATTAAATTTTGAAGGAAAACATTTTTTTACAATGTTTAAATCATAAAGGAGATAGTTTTAATTAAATTTAGAACTATCTTCCCCGTTATCCATTTTAAATCTTTTCCTCAAAATTGAAAGTTTTTCAATGTTTTTATTTTATTTTTTAATTTTATTCATTACTCTCAAAATTAATGAATTAATTAAAAACACAGTAAAAAAAGAAATGTATTTTTAAAATGAGACTATATCTACTTATTACCTTGCAATTTTTACTTTACGCTTTTGTAACCGTATGTTCTTGGTCCCTACGCAGACTGATCCAAGTGGTCACCCACCCTCACACTGACCGCAGCCAGTGATGTTTCACTTCGGTGATCTGCTGGGGTGATCTCTTAACGATCAGTCCACAGATATTAATAATAATTAGAAAGCAATGGGGAGGGATGCCTATACTTGGAGTAGACAATAGTATACAATAAATGTAGAATTCAAGAAGTAGAAATAACCACTTAAAATTCGTGGCACTGTTATTAATCCATATGCAAAGAAATATCTAGAAAATTAAATAATTTTAAGATACACTATTAAGATTTGATTTTATTAATTTGAGATGTAGCTCTATTATGGACATTTATATAAGTCTCAGACATAATCTAGTTCAAAATGATAAGGAAGAGCAAGAATTATTTGGTCATGAAGACCCAGAAAATGTGAGTAAATATCTTGGGGCCGACCTTGCCCTCTCTTACATGCTCGTTCGACTTAGTTTTTCGACCCATTTTTTTCATATTATCAAACCCATTCATTAATATTATATTTTTCCGTGTAAAATTTCGTAATCATATCTGAGACCCCAAAACTATTAAAGTCCCCCGAAAGGTACTCTCATTTCCCCCCTCTTATTTTGTCTTTACTTTACTAATATCCCCCGGTCCCTGGTTTCAAATTTCGTGTTACTGCATTTTACCCATTCAAGGGAATTATCAAAAATCATAAAGGATCTCCAAAAATGCTTAGACGATTTGATGCTTTGGCTCGTTGATTGGAAAATCAAAATTAATGCCTCTAAACCTGTCGCTGTCATTTTTAAAAGGAAAAAAAAAGAAGAAGAATTAGCTCTTTTCCCTCTCCCTTGACCGTCTTTAACGAACTCAATCCCTGGGACAAAAATGCTAAATATTCAGGAATCACTCTTGATTCCAGTTTACATTTAACAGAGAGTTACAAAAACTCTCGACAAAGCAAAGGCTGCTCAAGGTGAAATTAGTTGCTATATAAATAGTAAAAGTAAACTCAAATCGAAACTATTATCCTATACCTCCATCATTAGACCCATCCTTACTTACGGAATCCCCATTCCTAGGCAAATCGTATGAGCATCCAGACACTCAAAAATAAAACTCTTAGAATTATTACTAAAGTCTCTTGGTTCATTAGGAATGAAGTTATTCACTTCGACCTCAACATTCCAACCGTTTTTTTTTCCGTTTGCCAAAAAAATAACTAAAAAATTACCCCAAATGAATCTAGGCCCCCTTCAGCCAAAAGGTCAAAGGCGATTTTAAATTTAATAGATGATACAATCCCAATTAAAAGAAAGCGCACTTCTTAAATTTTTCTAAAATATTATCTTTCTTCTTTTTAAGAGCAAAGAAACAATTTTCTTAACTCTGGTTGCCTAGCAACGGCGCACGTAAACAAACTTCCTCCTCTACCCACCATCCAATTCTCTTCGCTTGCACACAGCACTCTGCTAAAAGGATAAAGATAGAAATTTTTTCGACCCCCCCCCCCATTCCCTGACCAANTTTTTTTTTGCTTTGTGACTTATAATCTCTTTTCTAGCTGTATTTGCTTAGGCATCTCGCTTTTAATGATCTTATCGAATGGGTGTTTTTAATTTTAAAACTTAAATTTTAATTTTTAGCATCGTTATTCTATTTTTAACTTTTTCTTGAATATAATAACTAAGTCATTAAAAATCTTTGACTTCTGGGAAATTGTTTCCTGTTTTAACTAATCCTATCAATTATTTAAATATTTTTATGTATTTAAAAATTAATTTAACTTAAATACAATTTTGTCCTAAGTACTTTAATTATTATGAAAATTTTAATTCAGCTTAAATAGAAGGTTCTGTATCCATACAAGATACTCCGTATTTTTTTGTTCAAGTTCAATTGTAGGGGAAATTTTACATTAAGCTAGGCTTCCATACGATACTCTAGTGTCCATGCTCCACAATTAAAATAGAGTTATTTATTCTTGTTTCTGCTCCTTTTTGAGATGTTCATTTAATAGTTCGCTGTGCGCTTTTATCTAACCCCGTATAAACTTTGAATTCCAAAGAAACTGAAAAGTCACGGAAAACAAGTAAGCTAAAAGCGTAGAAATATTTTCGTGCAATCTTTCGTAACTGATTTTAAACCAATAATTTATTTTTACCATTTTTGAACTATCAAAATTTATTCAGTAACAAAGTAAACAAGGAATTTACTCTGGTAGAAATTATTAACACAGAAGATTATAAAACTGAAACAATTCATTAAGACAGTGCTCAACATTCAAGGACCTTCTTCTGTTCATTTATAATACTTAATTTTGTTAATCTGAAATGTACTAATGTTTATAAACATTATCATTTTTCAAAATTCCGATTGCTATTTTTTAATTGAAGTATTATCTTTAATTCTTTGTTTTGTAACTTATAAATAAAGATATTAAGTTTGCAATGTTCTATCTCGACCATAAAACCTCTCTAGTTCGTTTTCCTTCTGAAGTCCATGTGAGAGCAACAGTTCTTTTGTCTCCAGTCATCATTTGTAAAATGATAGATACAAGTAGTATTAAAGTTCAATTAAAGACAACTGCAAGCTAAAAGATGTGCAGCAAATTTAAAATGCCAGTTTCTTTTAATTGATTGTAAAATCTCTAAAATTTCTTTTTTCTAGAATTTTATCTACATTGTTTGAGAGTTGGTGTAAAATTTACATTTTTGAAAAATCCTCGGATTGTTTTTTTTTTCTTCTTTTTTTCTCTTATGTTGGTAACTTCGCTTATTTATGTACTTAATTTAAAATATTATTTGTTTTCTTACCTAGAGGATGAAAATGTTGAACATCCTTGAAGTATTTTTGGATGCTGAAAATTACAAATATGAAAGAATTGATATTGGTATCACTGGTAGTCAAAAACAAGAAGCTATCAGCTGACCTGATGGTTAGTTATTATTTAAACCACCCTTCTATTTTTCGAATTTTCTGTCGTTGCATGTGGTTAAATGAAATCATTGCTTCTTAGTAATCATGTTTTTTGTGAAAAAAAATTCTGTTAACTGTCAATTTTTCAAAGATATAAAAGTCAATAAAAAAACTAAAATTATATTATTTTTCTTTATTTTCCTTTTGAAAAGGCAGCTAGTTTTTTAAAGTGGCCATTAAAAATTTCTCACATTTTCACTAGATAATAACGTAATTTTGTTAACTGAAATACATTAATAAATTAAAAATAAATGTTCATTAAGCGTTTTATTCTTTTCTAGTGAAAGTTCATAAAATTTTAATAAATACTTGTGAAAAATACAAACTAACAGTTATATACATCTTAAAATTTTTCTAACTTTAAATTTCCATAAGCTTTTAGTGTATAAATAATGGTTAGTGTACCTCTGCAATTGTATAAATAATTATTTTAAGTAAAATCACATTTATTTTATAGGAACCTGAAACAAAAGTTGAATCTGTTGATCTGATCTCATCATTATGAGCAACAGGAAGATATGGCAAGAGCTTTGGAACAAAGGATCATAAACAAATCAACCTGTGCGCATACAAGATGATTCAACCAAGCAAGCTACTATGTCTGACTACAATTCTGTCTTCACTGTTTCATCTGGTAAGTAAAATCTTTCCCGATAATAAGTGTAATACTTTTAACTTATTGTATTGATCTATAAATAATTAAAGCATTTTAATTTTAGTTTAAAACATTTATGAATAAGAATTTTTCAAAGTACTTTTTTTTTTCAAGAAATAAAATATTTTTTCTTCATTAAGAAGGATATATATTGTCCTAAATTCTTATGGATCAAGAAATTGTGCAAAGTTATTTTAATTGACAATCACATTTTTTTTATTTATGTTTCTTAATGGTCCAAAAAAAATCAGTCATCAGTTTTATTGCTAATTCAATGGGATCTATATTTCTTTAAAATTTTACAAAATTATATACATTTAAGATACAATTTAGTTTTTCTTACATTGAAAATAGTTAATTCATTATTAACTTTGAAGAAAAATTCAATTAACTGCTCATATAAATTATTGAAATCTCAATTTTTTAGTTTTCTTTATTTGAGAGTGGTTATGGTTTAATAGCCCTTAAATTCTGATTATAATTCCCATTATTTGTGACTTCAAAAGTAACACCTAAAGGTGGAGAGATTTGCCTGAAATATATTTTTTAAATGCAAAAGTTTATATAGGTATCAAGTAATTTTTTTAAAGAATTGATCATACAAATCTGTTTCGGAATATGAATAATACACAATTTTTTATTTAATCCATATTCAGTTGTGAGATGTTGATACCTTTCTGAATAATAAATGTCCAATGTGTTAAATTAGCTGTAAATTTTTTTTTAATTTCTACATCTCTAATGCTAATACATTAATAGAAAAATAGCTTAATCTAAGTATTTTTTTCAAAGGGGTGTAAATTATGTACTAGCATTAATGTTTTACTGTTTCTGTATACTAAGTTTAAACAAGATCATGAAGTTTGTACCCCAATGGAACAAAACTGCTCTTAGGGAGGAGGGGGGGGGGCTTTTTTTCTTATTTAAAATTATATGTTTAAATTAATGAGTAACTCTAAGCAAGGCCTTTATGTTTTACTGTGTAAATAACATTAATAATTTTTTATGTTTAGTATTGTCATATAATAACTAAATGCTGAACTTAAGTGTGATTAGGACATAAAAAAGTGAAATTGCTTAGAACAAAAGCATTGAAATAAATGATAATTAATTGAAATTAATTTTATTTGAATAATATCTTTCACTCCAAATTGGTATAGAATAAAATATAAGTATAGAATAATGCTTAATAAAGCTTATCATCCTTAATTTTTTGTTTTATGACTAAATTTAAATGTGGAATTTATAGTTTTAGTTTTATCTTTTGTATTAAATTTACAAATTCATTGTAAATGAACAAAACCTGTTTAAAAACTTAGTTTCAATGAATTTTTATAAATTTTAATTTTGTTCTCTGTGATAATTAAGGATTTCTTCTATTTTATCCAGTTTATCCCATTGCATTCTGAATGTACAAAAATAGTGTCTTATCACTGTTAGGATGCAAGGCATGTCATTTATAAAAGTTTAACCCTATTCTAAATTTAAAAATTTCAGAAATGTTTCAAGCAAATTTAAAAGGAAATCATCAGGCAGGACTTTTAGCTTTCTACTTTACACTGTAGCATATAAATCAGTATACGAAAAAATACATCCTAGTACACTAACATGTTAATTTTATTCATTCAGTTTTTAAAATTACTTACTAATAATTATTTTTTCTACTATGAGACAACATAAATATTAATTGAAGGCAAGTAAACAACTATATTCACATTAGCATGACTCTGACTTTTTTATTTCATTAAAATGAAATACATTCAATGACTATACTCTTATGAATGGACACAGAGAAACAAAATTGCATTAATTTTTATTTAGTATAAAATAACATAATTTATAAGTATTTGAAATATTTGATATATATGAAGTTATTTAAAAAAATATTGAAATATTTGGGCAAGATTTATTATTTGAAATATTTAATTTACAGTAATATTAAATATTTCAGTTTCTTTTTTATACAGTAAAGCCTACTAAGTTTATGTTATGTTATGTTAAAAAATATTTTTTGATTGCTTAGAAAGTACTTAAAAGCTGCTTATTTTTTGTTGAGATATTTGGCTAAGCACTCTGTTTACTTATAGCTGTATAATATGTGTTCAAAAAATTTTCGTATATTTAATGCATTAATTAAAACACATTTTACTATTGGCAATATTACTATTTCTGTGATTCTCATGTGCATTTGCTTTTTAAAACAGTTTCAATTTGAATATTGTGAAAAATTCTGTTTAACAAAGATTCAATTTTTACTGTTGATTTTTTTTTTTAATTCTTTCTAAACTTTTTTTAATTTGAATCCGGTAGAAAAGCCTATTTGACAAGGATTCTATTTTAGCAGTCTAATTTTTTTTTGTTTCTAACTCTTTTTAATTTAAATGGTCTAGAAAAGCCTAATTTAAAAGGAATTGGTTACAATCGGTGTAAAAATAAGATATCCAGTGATGGGTATCATATCTTTTAAAATAAAAAAAAATTATGTGTTGTTTTTTTTAAATTTGTCTATAAATACAAAAAACCCTCCTTTTTAACAGTTAAAAATTATTTAGTCTTAAAGAATTTCTAGTTTGAATATATTTTAAGCCAAAATTTCTTTTATTTTTAATATATTTTTAAGCATTCCCATTTAAACAACTAGTTCTTGTTTAATGGATGAAACTAATTACTAATTACTTAACTGTAGCAAATGCCAGCATGAAAGACTAGTGTCTAGAGCAGTGATTCTCAACCACTGTACCGCGGCACTTTTGTGTGCCGCCAAATTCTTAAAATGTGCCGCCAAATATTAGAAATGATACAATAAAAATTAAAATCCTTTTTTTTATTATGAGTAAAGTTTAAATTAAAGAAAAATTTATATATATATACATATATACTTTTTGTAATTTCTCCACACTTTAACCACGTGAACATCTTTGTCGGCGATTGTCTTGTCTCTGACAATAATAAAATAAGATGGAAGTGTTTTAATTATATATGACACACAATTTTAAAAAATGTTATAAGAGGTAATCACTAAAGTAAGCTATGCAATTAATAAACAAATTAACAAAGGATAACTTACAAAAATTAAGCTAACAATTAATAATTAGCAAAAGAACTAGTTAAAAAGAAATCACAAAAAAATAACAGTTAATGCAAAAAAAACTAACAGTTAATTACTGTAGAAAGCAAGCTAACAATTAATAACTAGCAAAAAATAAATAACTGTTACTAACTAATAAAAAATTGGTTGAAAGAAATAATTAATCCCTTAATAAATTTGCTTTTGAAGTACAGATTATTTTATTTCACATTCAAAATTATTATCACAAACTATTTAACTCAGTATAAAATAGGTAATTAAACTACTTTAAATCTAATTTTTTTCATTGTGTGCCGTCAAATTTCGAAATCGTTAAAAGTGTGCCGCAACAAAAAAAAAGGTTGAGAATCACTGGTCTAGAGAAATTAAGATAGCATATATTGCAGTTAAATAGTAGAAATGGAATGAAGAACCATTAATCATAAGTTTTTTTTTATCATAAAACATACTTCTTTATTTTTTAAATTTATCTAGATTAAATGCGTGTAGATTTTTTTTTTAATAATATGTTATGTTATTAATTGTTTGTACTGGTTTAAAATTTAAGAAATAATTAGGATCCAGGATGTTGAAATAGAACTACAGAAATTTTTAGAATCTATAACCTTTATGTACAGTGAAATACTAGTTATGCAACGTTTTTATATTATAAAAAGGAATCTTCGTTAAGAAAAATATTTTAGTTTTTTTCTAGTATTTTTTGATCTGTGATCTAGAAAAAAATGCTTCTTTCTAAGAGAAATTGGTAACATTAATAAATTATGAGGAAAAGCGGTTAAAGCCACTTTTTCTCTTCTTTTAATGTGAAGTTTTATTTAACAATATTTTCAATATCCCTTGTAGACTTAAGAAGTTTATCCTTCTATTAGTGTAATATCTATAATATTTTCTGAAATACTGAATTAAAAAAATACAATATATTTATCCTTATCTTGTAAATTAAAGTTTTTTCTGCTACTAATTATTTTAGAATTTAGTAACAAATTTTTGATTCTTAAAAGAAGATGTCTTTTGATTTTTGAAAGAAGTTTATCAACGCTAAATTACTTACATAAGTTATGGGTGACTAACAGAATAAAAAAAGTTTCTATTACAGATTTTTCAGTTTTAATTTTTTATTTTTACTAATAATGAAATAGATATGAGGAGATAAGTATATGGCATTTTCAACACCAGGTATACATATTTTCTCTCTCTATATATATAATGTTTATTATAATTGTGCTACTAGATTGTTAAAAAAAATCTTTACATTTCTAAGGTTAGTTTTTATGTTAATAAAGAGGTTTAAACTAGTGTGAATTTTTTTTTTTTTCGAATCCATTTTACTCATAAATTTTGAATGCATTTTATTATCTGTGCATAAATGTTTATTATTTTTCATTTAGGTTTTAATTCCAGTTTTTGCTCTGGGTCATGCTCAAGAGATGTGCATTCTTCTTGAAATTTACTGGGAGAAGATGAATCTTTAAATACCCATCTATTTTGCTGTTGATCTAACTGAAAAAGTAAATATATTGATGTACAAAAACCTACATTATTGATTTTAAAATGTGAATAAAAATTCTTCACTCTAATATTCTTTTTTCATTTAGGCTACCACCTTTTCTAAGATGAGATGTTCATAGCTTGAACCAACCAAAAAATCAAGAAAATATTTGTGCACCGTAATATGTTTATGTTTAATTTCAGACATATCAAGTTAGTTGATTTAAACAAATAAAATATTTTATCTTTTCTTTCATTAAAAATATTTTAATTTTATCATTGTGAGTATCTAATTTTAGTATTTTTAAATTTTATCAAGTGTAGCACTTAAAGTATTTATTTTTTTACAATGATACATGGCATTTTTTGTTTTATTCAATATAAATATCTCAATATATTTGTTGATTTGCTTTATAATAACTCCTCTTATAATTTCACATAGTTCCAATTTTAAAATTTTATTAATGATTTAAAAAATTTTCTCCCTTCTTTATATTTCTCTGCTGGGCTGATTGTATTCCGAACGTACCTTCCCCCCTTTTTTTACACCATTCCTTCAGGTCTAGGAGCAGAGCATGTGATTTTTTCGCAGAATTCTGCGTATCTCAAGACCATTGATTCGCTGACTCCGCGAATAAAAACTTTTAATCTGACAAAATTTTCACTGCAACCTAAACTTTAAAGTGAGAATTAAGTTCTACAATTTAAATTTTGAAACCTTCACTAAATCGCGTTCACGAGACGTTTTCATACATGTGACTGTTATGCAATTTTGATTTTTTTTTTTTTTTGGTTAGTTGGTAATTTTTATTATTTGAAACTATGCTGTAAATTAACCTAAAATTTAAAGTAAGTTCTGCAATTTAAATTTTAAAACCTTCACTAAATCGTGTTAAAGAGATGTTCTCATACATGTGATTGTTCGGCAATTTTAATTTTCTTGTTAGTCGGTCATATTTAATATTTGAAACTATACCGGAATCCGCTAATATTGCGATCCATATCCATGTGATTTTATTATCAAACATCGATTTTCGTATTTAAAAGTTTCTCATTGTGAATCGTATTCACGTGATTTAAGAATCGTACATTTCGATTAGTGTTCATGTGATTTAAAATCCAATATCGCAATTTGTATTGTCGCATTTTTGAAATCAATATCGCTATTTGCATTCGCGCGAATTTAAAATCCAATGTCGCTATTCACATTCACAGGATCTAAAAATAATGCATCCCCATTTCTATTTATGAGTTTCAAAAATCCAATATTGGGATTTGTATTTTTCCGTTATTAAATCCAATATCGTGATTAATATTCACACAAATTTAGAACCCAATATTGCAATTTTTATAAGAATTAAGTTTTTCTTAAATTAGTTACCATAAAAGTATGATATTCTTTAAAGGTAGATAATTTATTTATAAATCTTTATTTCAAAAACTTATATTAAATGTGAATTGTATATAAGTTTATAACTTGTTATCGAGTTTTTACGCATAAAATTTCAGGGTTTTTCACTTTGAGTCACAATCACCTGTGTCTCTAATGTAGAAGAAATAAGAGAATCTTTTACAGTTTTTTGAAATACAGTTTTATCCAAGGAGTATCTCAAGGGTTAAAACTTTTCTATGAAAACAACAAAAGCAGTTTTTAATTATTAATGGAATGGTAAATAGTTTCAGTAGCTTGGAAATTCTTTTTGCTGATTAATTTCTATTCACTGCAGATTTATTTCTAACGCGTCATTTCAATGAAATTGTAATATCTTTCTGTTCCAATAGTTCTAATCCCTTTCGCTTGTCTTCTTAAGAAAGCCGTTATAAAACTTTTAAATTGTCTTACATTTACTGGGTTTTGTAGATAATTCTATTCTTGCTTAAGAATTATTAGTTTTGTTTATTACTTGAAAAAAATGCTATTAAGTTTCTTTTTGATGTTAAACAAATCATGTTTTATTTCTCGATTAGGATGAGACTGGGCTTGCTTCCCCGTATTAAATTTTTAGTAATACTTACAGTAATACATGTTAATTTTTCATGTTTTTTCAACTTTAACATGTCAAATTAACTTCAATCTTGAACTAAGACCTTTATTATTACAGTTAAAGCTGTTTATCTCAAACCTCTATATCTCAAAATTTCTAAAATTCCTCACATTTACTATTTAAATTCAATGCATTTTCCTTGTTTCTTTCAAAATCTCTGTTTCTCGATTTCTAATAATTAACAACATAGCAAACAAAGAAGGTTAGACGTCAAAAATCTTTAAAAAGATTATTTTCAGTGTTAAAGGTATGTTAAAAAATTTTATGTAAATAGATATATGTGGTGTAATTTATGTACAGAAATGCCTGTATATTTCTCCAAAAAATAATTAAGGCACTTATAATCAAATTTCTTAATTAAATTACATTTTTTAAAGTACCTGTATAACTCAAAAACCTCTTTATTTCAAATTTTCTGCTTTTCTCGAAAGATGCAATATAAACAGGTCCGTCTGTATAAACTTTCAGAAACGCAGTAAATGCCAAAGAGCTTTGTCAATATTTTCCTACTCAAGAGTGCTTTGAACAAATAGCTTTGTTTCATCTGTGACACTTGTAGATACTTTTATCATTGAAAATGAAATCAATTCTTGATTAAAAAATGATACACTAGAGTAAAATGATACATACAATGATAGTTACATTTATAATAAGGCAAGTTTTTAAGTGACTTGAAGAAAAGAGGTTTTAGGCAGGTTAAAATATCTACTGGTTGTCTCAAAATCTATTAGCTTGAATTAAGGAATTTAAAAAATCTTTTTAGATTACATTTTATATTTTTATAATTTTTATATTTAAAGTGATGGCGAATCTAGTTTGGCAGTGGTTCCCTACACTATTTCATTTGAATTCCTAAACTTAATTTCGAATAATTGTAACCATAACTAAGTTTTTAAGTGATTTTTCAACTCTCATTTCTTACCACTTAAGAAAATCGATCTTGCAAAGAGCATAAATTGGCAGAAATGCATTTTAATACGATGAACCTTTTCCTTGTGGCCTAGTGAGGGGCTACTTTATTTTAAGTTACTTTTTAGAAATCATGTATATGTTAAAAATGTTTGTTCAAATTAAAATTGATCATATTTTTTTTATAGTTAATTGTGCCAGGTTATTGTGTATCTGGAACGATTGGTCATAAAGTCATTAGCGGTGCCAAGTAAATTGAATTTGAAAATCGCCAGATTGTAAGTTAGTTATTAACTTAGTTATTAGTTTTAATAAATTTATGATCTGAAGTTCTGTTCATGACATGAATATTTTAAATAGGTAGAAGTTGAAATGTCTGTGCAGTATATGTTGTTCAGTGCACATGCTGATGCTAAAGGAATCATGCAACTAATTCAGCATTGTGAACCATCTAAAGTCTTACTGGTGCACTAAAAAGCTTAAAAAATGGAGTTTTTGACAAAGAAAATCACTCCAGAGTTTGGTATAAAATTGCATCTAAGTTGTAAAGTACAAAAATATAATTAGAAATTTTTTTGAAATTTATATAGAGGCATTTTCGAATAGTTTGGTGAACTGTTCTCCGCCATTCAGATGCTTTATTTAAAAGAATGTTTAAGAAGATTACGAAAAGTAGTTTCTTCATTGCTTTGATTGATAGCAATGCTATTTAACAGCATGTACTTTTATTTCAAGAGATAAATTTGTAGTTATCAGCTTTGCCAGATTTTGTTAATTTATCCCGATTCATTAAAAATTCTCCTGATTTTTGTTTATTTTATAAGTTTCCTAAAAATTAGCAATGTGTGCTAGGGAAAAAAACTCTTTGAAAAGTTTTTCTTTTTAAATTTTTTTATTTTATAACTTTTATTATTTCATTGAGAGTTAAATTGGAATTGAGGTCAAATTTATCTTTGACATTCTAATCTTGAGAATATAGCTAGTTAACAAATTTAATTAAATGTACCCACTACTTTTTATTGTGTCTAAATAAAAAAAAAAAAAGAACACAAACTGGTTTTTCCGTTTCATTCTTTTTTAAATATAAGTGCAGTTGCTGTATCTCAAAACCTGCTTCATTAATTTTCTCTATTGGTATTGGTGTGATATTTTAAATATTTGTTTGTCTTATTTTATTGAAATTTTGTGTAAATGCTCACTACATGTTTGTCTATAGTATAGAGTTAGCACTAAGTTATCAAACTATTATTTTTTATTTTACTCCTATACCTAAATTTGTATTTTTGATTATTTAGATTTATTTATGTCTAAAAAAATGTATTTTAGACCATTTTTATTTGTAGTTTCTATATATGTGGTAAATTATTTAAAAGTTATTGTTATGCTTAATGAAAAGCCTGTACCTCAAGTTCATTATAAAAGCATTAAAGCCCAAAAAAACAAATTACTAAAACAAATTTTTTATACTTAAGTTAATATTTTAAGAAGTTAATTTTTTGTCCATTCTTTTTTTTATAGTTAATGAAAACAATTTACTTAACAAAACTGTGATCATATTTTAGATTGAAAAAGGAAGTGATTGGATAAATGTAGGAGATCTTCAAAGTGTTTAAGAGATTAAAGTAATCTTCAACTCAATTACACATTTGAATTATATAGGCAGAACAAGAACTTGCAGTATGTTTTTGTTCTGCATGCATTGTTATTCGTTGAGTATAATTGAAATACATAAAAATCAAGAGCATGGATCTAGAAAAGTTTAAACTTCTAGTAATTCATTTTTATAAGCCATACTGTGTGATTAAAAAAAGTGCTATATTTTACTGAAATATTGGGTACAAGCTGAAATACTAGTACAAAAATTGTGCAAAGTAAAGTTTATTTGGTCAAAATTTTGAATAGCTGAAAATATTTTTTGAAAACTAAAAATTTTCTTCTCTAGCATTATTAATTTACTTCTCTACATTTTATAATAATAAATAGAAGATTAAGAGTTTGTATTTCCTTCAAATTGTGGGAAAAGAGTGGTGCTTTTTGTTACAGAATTTAAAGTGAAAATAAAATTTGACTTACTGTGCTTCATCTCAAAACCGAATTTTTAATTTTAAATACTTGATTAATAGTTTATTTTTTTATAAATTACTTAACTACATTAGATTGATGTTTACATCTGAACAGATTAGCTAATAAAATATTGCTATTTATTAACTTAGAATTTTGTTGCTTTCATAAAAACTTAGAGAAATTATGCAGATATTTTTCTCAACCTATATTTCCTCTATATGTTTAATGTTGGAATTTTATGACTTCTCCTATACTGATTTTATTGATGTTTTATTTTTATTAATATTTTAGGTGGAAACTGAGGAAAGCATATTAGTAGTTTTAAGAATAATCATAGAATTTCATAAGACCTTCAGGCCACCATGCAGCTTTGAAGTAAGAATGTGTTATTTATATGATTTTTCTTTTTCAAATGAATTTGCTTTTGTATTAATATATTTCACACTTGTTCTATTTTGAAAACTATTTTATTAATAATTAACTTTTGTAAATTTTTTGCATTACATGGAGTGGAATGTGTTTCTATAGGTTTTTAAACTCGCATTTTCATGGGGAAAAGAATATTGACTTGAGTGGATGTCATTTAATGTATCTTATAAAAGATTTTAGATTTTTCACTTCTTTGATTAATTACTTATTTTGCACTTAAAAGTTTAAAAAAATATTAATATAGACTTCCATTATAATGACAAATGCTTCTATGACTAATTCTTGATAAAATGAGGGAGTAAAAAAAGGAGAAAATAGAGGAAAGAGAGGAAGATAATAGTTCTGTGATTAATCAATTTATAAATAAAGTTATAAAGTCTATAATTTGCAATATAAATGTCAATGATCACAAGGAGTTAACTCATTTTAAATTCTCTGCACAGAGATTTCTTGCCAAATTGTTCCTAAAGTTTTCTTGTTTTAATTTTTCAAGGTTTTTTATAGATATTGCTTAAAAGAATTTAAAATTTTGCTTTTCATTAATGAAAAATTCTGAGGAATATTGATGAGTATTGTTTTTCCAATCCAAATTGCTATGATCCTGAAAAAAAAAATTTTTTTTAATAATAATTAGTCTTAGTCACAAATTAATTTTTTTAAATATAATAATATGCTATTTTTGCACTAAATTTAAATGAAAGTTATAATGAAAAAAATTAATATATTGTGGGTTCTTTTTAATTTTAGTGTGACTAACTCAAAATATTAGGGGATATGAAATATCAATGATTCCCCCACAACACAACAGGAAGATTTCATTAGTACTTTGAATTATTTATACTTTTTTATTATTTTAAAGTCCAGTGTGAAAGAAATCTTTAAAATTTTCATGATTTATTAAGTAGAGAAAAATAAATTAAAAAAAGAATTATTAAAAAATATAGAAATTCTCTCCATTCAGTGTTTATAAGTTTCTCCACTCATTGGTAATTTGTTCTAAATAAATCTTTTTAATGTAATTAAAACCTCTTTTTTTTATTTCTATGGGGTTAAATACTTTTTTTATTCACTTATTTTATATTGTTTGTTTTGGTACTCTTCACCTACATGGCCTGTTAAACCACAATGTACCATATCTTAAAATAAAACTTAAGTGGTTGGGAAATCTAAAGGTTGCATGCAGTGGTGTGAAAATAATGATATATTTAAAGAATAGATACAGATGTTTCTGCTTTATGTAAAGAATATTTACAAAGATCTGCCTAATTACTTGCTTCTTATGTTTGAACCACGACCTACTCCAAAAGTAAAAAATTTATTAGCAGCTACGTTGGAACCGTTATTGAAAGAAACATTTACCATAACACTGATTCAAATTGAGAAAAGTTAAAAAAGGGGTCCAAATTCAACTACTCAGATGGTGAGTAAAAATAATTTTAGCGTCTGTGAATCTGTTATTATTAGTTATTAAATTAATTATTAGTTCATATAATATCAAAATTTCAAGTCTTGTGTTTAAAAGCCTTTTTAAATGCATGCTAATAAGATTATTGTATTTTCTGAGTAAGCAATAAAAATAGTTATTTGGCTAAACCATTATAAAATTTAGACTATTTGTTGTAGCCTTCGTAATATTTAAAAATTAGCTTATTCGCAAGTATAAAAGGGTTTCCATTCCTAAAAAAGCCTTAAATTTAAATATGGTTTTAGGAGCCCATTAAAAGGTCTGTTTTTCTTTCTAAACCTTCTTAAAGCTCATTCATATTTTAATTTTGAAGACTTCAATTGCATTTTATAATTGTTTTCATTATTATTCTTGATGCTATTGAATTTAAAAATGATATTCAAGTAAAATTAAAAAAGTTATGAAGTAACTTCCTTTAAAAGTTTAACGTGAGAAGCATTTTTTCCATAATTTAATTCTAAAACGTGCTTGGAATCTTTTTTCTTGCTTAATTTATTCAAACTTCAGGTCAATTTTTAGTGGTATTTACTTTAACCATCTCTTGAAATAAAGATTCATGTATGCATGCTTTTAATCAATTTTTAGTTGTATTAACTTTAACATCTCTTGAAAAAAAAATCATGTATGCTTTCAATCTGTATGATCTGTATGCTTTCAATCTGTAAAATATGCATGCTTTCAATCTGTAAAATATGCTTGCTTTCAATCTGTAAAATATGCATGCTTTCAATGTGTATAAGCCTTTAAAGTTAAGGAAAATTTTTACTATTATTAAAATAGAGGTGCACTACCTTTTGAAGTGAAGGGCCACATGCACAGCAAATTGACCTATGAAGGGTTGCATGCCCAAGAATTTAGACAGGCATGTTAACAGCAATTATAGGTAGCAATTGTTTTAAAAACATCATTACTCTTGGCACTAAATTCTTTTTATCAGGTAACCTTATAATATATTTGCGTAAAATTAAATACTTTTAAATGTTTAAATTAAGAACTGATTACCCAGGGAAAAAAACAATCAGAATCAATTTATGAGAAAAGAGCTGATAAATAGAAATAAATTTTTTAAAAAATGGGAAAATTCATATTTTTTTTATCACATTACATAATTCAAAAGTCCGTTTAAACATTAAAATTTTAACGTTCATAGAATTAAATTAAAAATAAATAAATAAATATCCTAGTTAATAAAACAAATGCAGGTTAAATTCTTTTGTTTATAGAGAGTTTGTAGGGTTAAAAATGATTAAAATTAAAACAAAACCCTTTCAGTGCAAAATAAGATTCAGCATTTAGTAGGGAACATACTCTAACTTTAAAACATTAATTTTAAATAAATTACAAGAGAAGAGGCTGGAAGAGAAAAGAAAAAGAAAACATTAATTTTGATCTTAAGAATCTATTTTTTAATTATTATTAATTAGTATAAATTTAATCTATGGATTTATCAACTTAATTACATGAACTTACAGAGCTACCTATGATTGTAATTATACTAACTTGTAATTATACTATTTTAGAATAATTAGATACAGTACAAACCTTAAAAAATTAAACTTTTTAAAATTTTTATTTAAGAGTTTTTATCCTTTGTTCGATGTCTTATCCCACAGTTTTGAATTACCTCTACTTGTTTAGTTTTTTTGCTGCATTTTTGATACAAAGTTTTTAAGAGTAAACTTTTTCTAAATTAAGCTGAAGATATGTTAATTTTAATGATAACAGTATTATAATAATATTTTATTTTTTGGAAAATTAAAATATTTTTTAGAATGTCAGGCATTGTTAATCTTTCACAGTATAAATATTAAATTAAATAAATATGAAAGATTTACATACAATTTCTTTTGACTACAGATTGCATAAAAATATACATTGTGTGGTTTTTTACATTTCTGATATTTTATAATTTTTTTTTTAAAACATGCAGTTGACTTAACTATCTTTAGTTAAATATTCAAGCTAAAAAAAAAGAAGTTAAATTTAGAATTTGGAAATTTACTTTTCAAGCTAAGTTTTTATTATGTTTCAGTTTGAAAGACTTACAAAAATTGAAAAATAACCTTCTTAAGTTATTGAAAAGACACTGTATTAGTGTAATATTTATTTAACTTACAGCATTACCTGTGTCCTTTTACTTTCGGTTAGTTCTCTGCCTTGGAGATTTTGGAACTTGCTCTTAGGTATTCTAGCTATATAATTCAAAAACAGATTTTTTTTTATTTGCTTTAATTTTGAGATAAAGAGTAGAGTTATTAAATTTTTTTTTTATTAACAAACAATTTTGTATTGAATTAAAATATTTTAAAAATAAACTTTAATTTTTTATGCTAGTGTTTGCAATGGTACACAAACAGTTTTTTATTTTATCCTTTTCAAGAAAATTAAAATTTATATGAAACTTAGAAATTGAAAATTTGATTGATGCATTTTAAACAGAAGAATCAATCAGTAAGAATGTTCCTTAGGTTTCCAAAAATCGTGATTTGTATTTCATTATTTTTTTAAATTTTGATTGTTTTTCTTGTTTGTTTTTCCTGAATATTGTTAAAAAAATTATTAGATTAAGAAAAATGATGTCATGTGAAAAATATGTACTGGATCATTCAAAAACTCAACTTTCAAATTATTGTTTACTTTTCAGAAACCGAAGGGACTTTGAGCAAGCTCTAAAAGCTCCCTGTCCCTGAACTCACCCATCCTTTTATAAATGTCATACTTTGTTGCTTATAATACACAATGAAGGCATACCAATTTATTGTATCAATAACTGGTAGTTCTCTTAACCAAATTAATGGCATGGTTCTCCAGTTTTATGTGTGTTTAAAGAAAAATTTTATACTAAAAATTACAAAATTACTTTCTAGCAGTAAAAATTGTTACTTTGTGATTTTTCTTTTTTTTTATATTGCTTATATATTTGATTTCTTTTACAATTTTATTTAATCCCTATAGCTACTATGTCCCTAAAGGCACTGACATAGCTACCTATAATTGTTGTCTTGATGTACCAGCTATATAAAATGAGTGTTCATAAAGATGTCGAAGAATTTGTGCCATTGATAATGACAACTAATACTTTACAACCCACAGCTCAACAGAGGTAACTTAATTTTAACATTACTCAAATATTTTTTTACCATAGAAAGTTTAATATTAGTGACTATATTTCAACATTGAAAAAGTCTATGAAGTGATAATTGTCTCTTTGTTTGCCAAATTACTCTTAGATGATAATATATCTATATAAGATAACTAAGAAATCTCTGGAAGTATTAAAAATGTTGCACTTTAGATTCTAGAAGTTGGAAGCAGTTTTCAGTTGATAATGATCATAGTCAGTATTTACATAACTTTTAATTTATCTAGCATTGATTCTCATATTTGCTATAATAGTATTTGTTTTATTCAAATTTTCTAGTATCTAAATGAAAACTAATTTAAATTTAGCAATGTGAAATATCACTAAAATATATAATTTTGATTAATTTCAGAACAGTCATGAAAAAATAATTTCTAATTTTATAGAAAAACTCATACATCCAATAAAGTTTCAATTAATTCGCAACATGTCCTATATAAGATAACAATAAAGTATTCTCTTTGATAAAATGCATCTCATTGTGGATATATAATTTTCTAATTCTTATTCTGTTTGGATCAAATCATCTAAACTTAGAATATAATTTTTTTTAAATATCTTACAACCAGCTCATAATTTAATTAAGAAATAGTTAGCCTGAGAAATATTTGTCAATATCACAAAAAATTTGATATTTTGTAATCTTTTTCAAAAATAAAAGCTTGTTAATCTTTTTTTTAATTAAAACAAATGTTGTATCCAAATGAAATCAGATTTATTTTATTGGTCTCAGTTTTTATTCTTATCCTTGATTGAAGCTGGAATGTCTTTTCTTTTTCTATAATTGAAATCTGTATACCAAGACTATAATTAACACCACTCTTGTATCACCTTTTAATATACTGATCACTTCTCAAACTAGGCCATCAAATTGGTACATTACAAATAGTCAACTTGCATGACTTTTGCTGTAAAATATATTTTATTGATTTTGATCTTGATTGTTGTTTTATCCTTGACTCCCTTGTCATTTTAATTTTATTTTTATAATGTTTACAGTCTAAATATAGCAGAAAATACAGAGAGAAACTTTTTAAATTAACTACTTGCATGTAGGATATGCCTTAAATGTCTTTCTTTTTAACTTATTTTATATTTCATACCAAATGATCTAGTCAGAGTGGTTTTATACAATAAAACTCTTCAGTATTGTTTTTTACTTATTCAATTGTATTCTGTGAAAGAATTTTATGTTCAATGACTCTGTGGGACAAAGTTTAAAATTAAATTTTATAAATTTAATTTGTTCTTTGGGAAATATGCTGATAAAATGCAGAATGTTTACAGAAATTTTATTTTTGTTTTGTTTTATTTTAGGAACAATCCATCTCTCAATGAAGAAGTTTATGTTGACTTTATGCCTGCACAGGTAAAAACATTATCTTTTCTGGCTTACCTAGTTAGAATATATCAAGTGAGTGGGTTAATGACTAATATATTAAGAATCATTCTTTATTTTTTTTAATAAATATTTTTTATCCTGTATTTTTAAGGAAATCCCTTTGCTGCTTAGAAGTACTCTAATGTGGTATAACAATGTTGAGCGCACTACTAACAAATTTTAAATACAGAAAAATGTGACAAAATTTTGTAAGGCTTTTGTTTAAAACAATGAAAAACGTTGCTTTTTCTTGTTTGAATGATTAGAATTTTCTATATTCTCAAGTTTTGTATACATGTAAATAATCAATTTTTATCTGTTCTCTATGAACAAAGTTATTGGTGTTGATTGCATTTTGTGTTGAAATTGAAGGGCAAAAGTTTAAAAAAATTAGGAAAAGGGGAGTCTAAAGGAATCCAAAAGAAAACTGTTTATGTACTAAGAAAATTGTAAAATGCCTATCATTCAATGTCATGGATCCTCAATCATTCAATAAGGTAAATCTAACTTCAATGGATTTCAGAAGAACTCTTAATTTCTTAAAATGAACTTTACAAAATAGAAAAGGATATTTAATGTTTTAGAAACTGTTATATGCTTTCAAACTATAGTGAATCTTTAATTTGAAATTTCACTTATCAAATATAATATTTTAAAACCCTCCTAAGTTAAAAAATGTAGCTCATGTTAATGTCAAATGTAGGTTTTGTTTTAATAAAACAGATATGTAGTAATCAATTTAGTTTTTAATCAACTTAATTTAGTTTAAAATTGAACTGCGAAATGATTTTTTCCTACATTTTGGTTTTTAAAATTTGTTGCTTTTAAAATTCGAGTGTTCTCAAAACGGATGTGATTTTAAGAAGCAGCATGCACTGTATTTATGTTTATGTGAGTAATATTATCCTAAATTAGTTGCAAATTTCCTTTATTCTGAGACATGTTTTTTTTTCTCTTTATTTTTAAAAAAATGACTAATTTTTTTAAAAAAATGTTTTCTTTAGATACCATTTGAAAAATATTTCTGTTTTAAATGCTCTCTGTGTGTACGAGTTCTCCTTATTTTTGATAAATTCTTTAATTTTTGTCCCATTTTCATAATTGTGCATATCTCACTAATTATATCTAAAAATTAATTACTCTAAGAAAAGGCTTATAAACTTAGAATTTTGTTGCTTTCATTAAAACTTAGAGAAACTATGCAAATATTTTTCTCAACATATATTTCTCTATATGTTTAATGTTGGAATTTTATAACTTCTCCTATACTGATTTTATTGATGTTTTATTTTTATTCAAATATTCATATTTTTGGTGGAAAATGAGGAAAACATATTAGTAGTTTTAAGAATAATCATAGAATTTCATAAGACCTTCAGGCCACCATGCAGCTTTGAAGTAAGAATGTGTTATTTATATGATTTATCAGATTCATTGAAAACTATTTTATTAATCAACTTTTGTAAATTTTTGCATTACATTGAGTAGAATATGTTTCTATAGGTTTATTAACTTACATTTGCATGGGAAAAAGAATATTGACTTAAGCCGATGTCATTGAATAGCATACATAATACTGCTAGTTATTTATCATTTTACATTACTCTGGCTATTATTTTTTTTTATTAATGTATCTTATAAAAGATTTTTTTTTAGATTTTTCACTTGTTTGATTAATTATTTATTTTGTATTTAAAAGTTTAAAAAGGTATTATTATAGGCTTCCATTACAATGACAAATGCTTACATGAATTATTCTTGATAAAATGAGGGAATAAGAGAAGTAAAGAATAAAGGAAAGAGATGAAGATAATAGTTCTGCGATTAATCAATTTATAAAAAAAGTTTATAAGCCTATAATTTGCGATATAAATCTCAATGATCACAAGGAGTTAACTAATTTTAAATTCTCAGTTCAGAAATTTTAATAAATGACTAACTCTCTGTGTGTACAATTTCTCCTTATTTTTGAGAAATTCTTTAATTTTTGTGCCATTTTTCAAAATTGTGCATATCTTACTAATTATATCTGAAAATTAATGACTCTAAGAAAAGGAAATTAGTAGAAGTGTTTGTAATAGCAGGATTTTTTTAAAAAAGAATAGCAAAATTATATTTTAAAACAGCCTTTCTCAGCCTAATATAATTCATAATTTAAATACTATTTTTTTAAAAATAAACTATGTTATTATATATCTTTCATTTGCTAAGATGGAGTAAAATACTTTTCATAACTATGAACAAACAACTAAAAAAAGATTTTACTCAATGGTATAATTGCTAATAATGTTTAAATTAAAAAATATAAATGTATAAAAAATGTTTCATTTGAAAAAATATCCTTGTATAGTTCTTACGATATTACGTATGTTCAATAATGTAAAAGTCTTACAAATTTTTCAACATTGATAACTATTTCTTCATATATTTATACAATGTGAATTTAGTTTTCCTCCAAAAAAGTCTTACATGTCTAATTAGAACAGTAAAAAAAATTCATTTTCTAAGTGAGTCAAGTTAATAAACCTTAAATATCTTATAAAGAATACTAGATTAAATATGTATATTTTGTAATTAATAAAAAATTTAAAACTTTTTTGTTTCTTCTTTTTGCTTTTAAATTATTTTGGTTTGTGGAAGTTGGAATTCAAATATTTAATTATTAGTAGTTATAGATCAACTATATTTACCAAAAAAAGGGGGGTGAATGCATTATTAACATTAATTTATTCTAGCTTTAATATTTAATTGGTTTTTAAACGTTTTCAAGAATGTTATTAGCCCTCCAAAGGTTGAGCCTCTCGGATAAATATACCGAAATTTACTTGCTACCCACTTTTCTATTGAATAACAGGAAGAAAACTGATTTTATGATGATTTTATTATTTGCAGCTTACAATTCAAAAATAGACTAATGCTCAAAGGTGCTTTGAAAATCACTAGTGTTTAGAAACAAAGATTTTTCAACACTAGCAACAAGATTTTGTATTTTGCTTGAAAATTAGGGGTCTTCATGAACTGCTAGTTGCTATTTAGAGCATCTCATTTCTCTGGAGCTGAGCTTACCAAACTCACAGATTTCTCCAATTCTTAAGTTTCACTTTAAAATTTCAACCCAATTTACTATTGTTTTAAAGAAAATCATTCTCTAAAAGAGTTTACGGTGTTTATCATTCTGTTTTACTGTTGAAAATATACAGTTGTTACAGTTACTTCTTAGAATTTTTGAAAAAGATTGCTAGCCTTAATTTAACGAATTCCCATTTGTTATCTGGAATTTTTTTTTAAATGTTTGGTTTATTGTTATAAAAATTTATATAAAACTTCAGTTTATTTTGAGAAAAACTTGAATTCAAACTAAAAATATTTTTTGAAAGGCAAAAAAAAAGAAAAAAAAAACAAAAAAGAAATGTATGCTCTTTCCAAAAATCTAAACTCATTTTCTCTAGTTATTTTATCAAGCACTTTTTAAATCATATATCAATTAACAGGTTTGTTTCTGCCATGTCAAGTACAGTATCTATATTTTAAATGGGGGGGGGGAATTACAAAATTGTTTTCAAAAATTTATTTTAACCCTATTTTCAAGTAAAGTTAAGTTTTCTATTTTCAGAATTTGTGCCATCCCTAGAAGAGCTTTTTGATGAAAATATATTAATTGGAACTGGATGGACATATTATGAGTCATTAAGGTGATAGTTTTGATTCTTGTGGCATTAAATTGCATTCTTTACACCATTCCATTCTCTAACTATTCGGAAAAGTAAAATAAGAAAATTATATTGAAATTGAAAGATTCTCTAATCTTAAAACCAATTTTTATGATTTTAATTGTATATTATATTAATACAATATGTTCACCTTTTCTTCCTTTATGTAAGCTTAAGAAATTTTTAGGATTATTTTTTAACATTTCTGTTTCACAAAAATTGCATTATTGAAAAAATAATACCTTATGTCAATTTTAGATTTTTTACTAACAAGTAAATATCTTCTTTTTTTGTTGTTGACATCTCTGAAAGCAGGGGGCTGTGTGTTTGATTCTGGTGTCCATCCAAAAATCTAGTAAGTATAGATAGCAACTTATATATTATGACTGAAAGTCCTTCTAATTTTGTAAAAATTTGGAAAAAAAAGGCACCAGCTCAATCATTGATTATCCTTCACTCTACAAAATTCTGTAAAACTTTTACCAAGGCTGTTACAAAACATTAAAAAGGTCCAAGTTTTTTGACTTTTTTTAGGTTTGTGGTTAAAATGGTAATAATGTGGTAATAATGATAATTTCAAATTTGACCAGAAGGCCTTTTAGGCAAACGTGTCACATCAATAAATTCAAATAATACATGGTTCGTAGCATTTTTAAAAAGTACTTAAAGGTACTTATTTTCGTTTTTAAAAGCCCTTAAAGGCGCTTTTTCATGAGGTGTTTTTAAAAAGTACTTAATTTTCCCTTTTCGAAAATGAGAATTTTTTCTTTACCATGTAGATTTTCTATGCAAAAAAAGTAGTTTTCACATTGTATTGTTCTAGCGTTTTTAACAATTCATTCGACCACAATCTATTTTGGCTTACATTCAATCCGTAGCGTTTAAAAGCGCCAATTGTTTTACATGTTCGATAAAATACTTTGGATCCCACAGGTGCGTCTACTGAGGTTGGTCAGGTGAGATTATTGCCCTCGCATGTGCAACGCTGCAGCATTTTGCGAGATATTTTCAATTTAAGGCTTCAATTTCCACCCTCTGAAATCGAATCGATAAATATCTCAATATTTTTATGGTGACTAATATAATCAAGAAAAAGAGTGATCATGTGAGCTGTTTGAAAATTATTGCGCATTTTGTTAACGTATATCGTGCTTGAAAGTATTTCTTGTGTGCTTAAAAAGTATTTAAAAGGTGCTTATTTTTGGTTGAAAGATTTGGCTACGCACTCTGTAATATATAAATCAATAAATTCAATTTTCCTTGTTACCCAAAATCTATTAGATTATATAATATAGTTAGAAATTCAATTGCAAGAGGGAGATAATTAATTTTAATATAGGTTCCTAAGTTTCAAATTCTAACGTGTTAGTGTTTTGTTTAAAATTTAGATACAATTAAGGTATAATCAGTTTATTTTTATCTATTTTACTGCTGTTTGAAATGGATAAATCATAATATACAGAGATGCTAAAAATATCTTCAATATAACAGCATGAAAAAATTACAAAAAAGTTTAATTATAAAGATTATGTGACTTTTTTATTCTGTTTTTGCTTTACTTAACGTGCCAATATTTAATGAATTGTTTTATTGCAATTCTCAAAGTATCCTCTAAATGCTAATTTGTCAAATATGTTATTTTTAATTAAGTGTTCTATTATGTTTACTTGGCATCTAATTTTATAATCTTCTAAGCCTCTGCTTCAAATGTTGTATTGCAAGTTATCTGAAATAATTTTCTTTGTACAAACTTTTTTATTTTCCTATCAAATTGTTTTAAACTGAATGAGATAATTCAGTGAGACACAAAAACATCATCTGTTTCTTGTGCTGAAAAACCTTAAGAGTTGACAGTTGTCCTAATATTCCAGATTGACGGGATGAAAAAAAATTTGTTCTTGTTTTTAACTTTTTGATCTAATATTCCCAAATTTTTTTTGTGTATTTTCTGATCCTCCCATTTTCTACAAGCATGAACTTTAAAAGATTTGATTTGTAGAATAAAAAGATTTTGCTTTTCAAATTTTTTATTTTGTTTATTAGTTTAATATAAATTGATAATGCTATTAAAATTTCAAAATTTAGTAGTTCTAACTCAGAGACCGTCTATCAACTACATTTATTAAAGATATTTTATTGTGTGGTCTGTGGGCTAATAATATCACTTAGATTTTAGTTGCTCTTTGAATTATCTAATTTTGTTTAAAATAATAATAAATTGCTTGGAAAGAGAAAAAGTTTATATAATGACAATTTTTGTATTGTAATGAAAGTTTTTTTCCCTTTCTTTTTGCAAAATAGTGTATTGAGTATCTAAGTATCATAGTAATTTTGCCTATGCATTAATTGATTCTACTCTAACTTTATGTGAATTTTTCACAACCAACATTTAGTAAAATTTAGTGAACTTTGTTTTAGTAGAGCAAAATAAACCTTTTTACTTTGTCTTTTGTATTTTTTTAAATTATACTGTTCCAAAAAATATCTTGATTTTTTTTTTTTTTTTTAAANAAAAAAAATTTTTTTTTTTTTTTTTTTTTGAAAATTGTTTGAGTTTTTCTTTGTTTTATTATGAGGCTTGGAAAAAATTTCTTGTTAAATGTATGTATTATGTTTCACAGCTCTTTAATTGCCTTTACTGACTGTGGTATTACTTATTTTAATGTTAGAATCTTGTATATTTTTAGGCCTTTTGCTTATAGTACTTAAGCTGATCTTGTGCATCATATGAGACAATATTTATACTTGAAGGCTCTGGCTAAGGCTGTAAATGTGTTCTTAAAAAATGTTCTTGATGAATCTTTAGTAACTACAATTCAAACAATGTCTTGTATGCTTATTCTGAATTTAACAGGGATGAGATTTATCCGCTTTTTAGCGGATTTCCGCCTTTTTCGCTTTTGTCTCTCGAATTTCAGACTTTTTATTTAAAACTCAGATTCTCTAAAAGTTTCAGTTTCTTTAAATTAATATTCCGGTTTTTTTCTGAAAATTCAGCCATTGAAATAATATAATTATGTTTATTTCCTCCGATTTGATATATACATATCATATATCGAAAGATGTATAGAAAATTCAAACTTCATAGCTGCCAACCCTTTCGCATATCTACTTAATTTAGTTATTAGCTTCTAGAAGCAGAAAGTAAGATTTTCCTCATTTTTACCCGTCCGCTAGATAGCTCGTATTTTCGTAATTCAGACGTCGCTGCATTTTAATATCAAACATCGATTTTCGTATTTACCTGATTTAAAAGTTGCGCGTTGCGATTCCTATTCTCGCGATTTCAATATCGTTCATTGCAATTCTTCTTTACGAGATTTAAAAATCCAATATCGCGATTTGTATACAGACGTTTTTAAAATTCTATGTAACGATTTCGTATTCATGCGAGTTTATCCAATGTCGTGATTCGTTTTTGCAGTTGTAATATCCAACTTCTATTTTCGTATTTACACTTGATTTAAAAATTAGGCTTTGGATACGTTTTAACGCCATTTAGAAATTATGTATCGTAATTCGTATTTACGCGATCTGAAAGTTACGCATCATGATTTGTATTTTCACATTTTTGAAATTTAATATCGAGTTTCATTCACTTATTTCAATAACGTGATTTATATTCACACGATTTTAAAATCCGTTATTGCGCGATTCTTGTAAAAAGCAAGTTTTTTTTTTTAATTAGTTACTATAAATGTGGCAGTTTTCCTATCGGCGATTATTGCTATATTACAACATCAGCCAAAACTGGATGAGAATATGTTACTGATATTTTTGCTATAAATCACGTAAGATGTACTCGTGTGAAAATTCAGCTTTTTTGCCTTTTGACCAATCTCATCCCTGATTTAATTGAATGCATTAGAATAAGATCTGATCAAGAAAATGTCAATGTAAGTTCTCTTTTTCTTATTAATTAAAATATAAATTTTATTCAACTGATTAAATTTATTATAATGCAAGGTAATAATGCTTTTAAATTATGAAGAATTTTTATTGTGTGAATAATAGTTGCATTTTAATAAAATCATGAGAGGTGCTTGTGCAGTTAAATTTATTTTGTTACACTTCTTATGTCTATAAAAATATGATGTCAATAACCATGAGAATCTGGCAGCATATCAAAGCCTTGTACTTTCAGCCATTAAATGCATTGTATTTTTCACATTATATTCTTCTAGCTATGAATTTCAACCATTTTTACACTTTAACTATTCTTAAAGTGTATTTCAATTCAGATTATTTCATGGTATTATAACTAGTTTATAATTCATGATATTATAACTAGTTTTGTTGTTCTGGCAATGAAAATTGTGCTCTGCTAACTATTAAGTCTATTGTAGAAATTTTAAAGGTTTTTTTTTTCTTTTTTTTCAAATTTGTAATTTTTATAAGAATAATATTTGTAGCAACATTAGCTCTGGTATAATATGTATGAAGCAGTAAAAAGTCATCTATGATGTTTATTATATTTTGAAAAAAATGCTTTATTTAGGGCCGTGAGTTGTTAATGAGGATGCTTGAAGTTTTGGTTTTAAAACTATTGCAAAGCTGCAACTGCCTGTTCTGCAGAAAAAAGTGTAAGCATATATTTACTTTCTGTTAAATTAAATTTATATAGTTGCTTATAGCGCTTGTATTCACAATAAAACTTGAAAATGTAATAACTCCTTGAAAAAAAAATAATATCCACTGTTTTTAACATCTTTTGACCAGTATTAGTCATTTAGAGTAGAAAAAAAAACTTGAAGGATATTTTCAATTGTCTAATATTGTCTTAAGGAATACTAATTTTAATATTGTCTATATAATATATATTGTCTAATATATATTATATAAATATTGTCTTAAAGACTTCGTATCTGTTCAGTGCTGATAACTGCAAATGCATTTTAGAAATCATTCTGGTCACACATATTTATAATTAAAACACAAGAATGAAACTTTAATTTTATTAAGAGGCATCCACTTTTTTTTTTAAATGCAAATAAATTTCTATCTATATTATTGCCAACAGACAGAGTGCAAACATAACGAGCAATTTCAATGTTAAACACCTACTCACCAAGCTTTTTTTTTTTCGTTCTAGAAATGAATTTTATACATATAAATCTTTAAATACTGGACAAATTTTTGAATTTATTTAGTAAGATTAAAAAAATAAGTGGTGTACAAATATCTATTTTCATTTATTATGTTTCCCCATAAAGAATTTTCATACTTTACAATTACCTTAACCTTTGGTAAAAAAATTTTTTTTTATAGTCACTATTAGTTAGTTAAAACTGAAGATTCTCAAAAAGTGTTCATTTTACTTCTCTCTCATTATCTCATCAAGTTTTGTGAATGGGAAAACTATCTCTGTTAGTACATAACTATACTGTTTTTACTTAAAAACTCGACTAGGGTATTTTGCATATTTTCAACGCACAAATATGCTGTGTTATATTAAAATGGTCTTTTTTCTAGATTTATAATTCTATCTCTGATGAATTAGATATTTAGTAAATACCTGTCCTATATTGTGTCATAGGATTCTAAACTCATTTACTACATGTTTAAAGTTACATTTATTAAAATAAAAATATTCTAAAAACATTGAACAATTTTTGAAGTTAATACATGACATTTTTAAAAATATTAAATTGTTTAATTTTGTTATATTGTTATGAATTTTAGTTCTCAACCTTTAAAACCTCAAACCTTGGCTATTCCTGCCTCACACTCTGCCCCTTCCATAGTTGCCTTTTCAAGCTCCTCCCTTTCAAATGTAACACCTTCCGTACCTGCAGCTCAGCATATCACCACACCACATGTTAATCCACTAAGCTCTTGGATTCCTCCCCGGTGGAGTTAAAGTAAAGACTGAAGTTCCATTCAGGTGGTCTATTAGACCGACTAAATGAAAAAGTAAGAATTAAAGAAAGCAGTCATGTTTACGCACTTTAAGATTTTTATCAGTACTGTTGCAGTTACATTAAAAAAAAAAATCAGAATTGCATTTTCATATAATTAATGCAGTTGAATCCTGCTGCAATAAACACGGCATATAGTGAACACTCAGTTGTAGTGTACTCCCATTTAACATTATTTTATATGTTTATAGTGGACAGCTGAAATATTTATAGTGTGATCTAATTTCAGATTCCCATTTTTCTTATTTATTTCTCTGACTTTAAATTTGCAGGGCAGGAATTATGATTGCAAGTGGCTGCATTTTTTTACATTGTGTCAAATCTTACTCTTGCATGCTTTTTGTTTTAAAACTAGGGTAACCAATTTGTTAATAATAGGAATAACTAACTGGAATGCTATGGCACAGAATAGATCAAGATGGCAAAAACTTATTGGGATGGTCTTGGGCCTGTTATAGGCTGTAATGCCCAAGAAGAAGAAACAATTGTTAAGCAGCACGTTCCTCTTCTTACCTCTCCCTATATGTTGTAGGAAGATGAGAAATTTCAGCGTTTTTTATCTTAAAATGAAATTGTTATTAAGTGTTCTGAATTTTTTTCCTGCAGAAAATGAGGATTAGGAAATACTAGGTTCTTTAATAATTGTTTGGAAAAGTGGTAAACTCTACTTAACATCAAATTGAATATCCATCTTCCATAGAATATAAAAATTATTTATATTTTTTTTAAAATATTTAATTTATTGCATATTTAAGGAGTTAATTTATAAATAAATAATTTACTATCATAATCACAATTTCCAACAATACTATTGTCATATGCTAAAAAATAATTTTTCAAAGAATTTGGATATAGTGAACTTCTGTTTTATAGTAGACTGGGTTCTTAGACAGTTTGCTATTCAGAGGTTCAATTTTACTTTCATGTGCTGTTATGTTTTTATTCTTTAAAATATCAAAATTCATATAGGCTAAGAAAAACCTTTAATAGTCTGGGACTTTTATTTAGAGAAATAAGGAGATGGAGAAATACAATGTTAGGTTGGAACCTGGAAAAATCTATCAACAAACCTAGAAAGTAAGTTACCTATTTCAAATTGGACTAATGTACTAAATGGCCAATAAGATTCAAAGCAAATAAGTCCAACATCTGTTTATACTTTTTGTTGTTAAAATTCTGTAGTAACATTGTTGAATTTTTGAGGATTATCGAAATTAAAGTACTGATTTGTGTTATGTTTTTATGATTCTTTCTGTCGCAAAAAAATGAATGAGGTAAAATCAGATCTGCATTTTCTAATAGTCCCGCAGGACTAATCGTTAAGACTCAGAAGCATCACTGACTGCAGTCAGTGTGCTGGTGGGTGACTACTTGGATCAGTCTGCATAGGGATCGAGGGTGTGCGGTATGGGTCCTTGTTAGAACTGTTCTACCATAAAGTGCTCAACTTTGCCTGCAGGTCGTCGGGCTACTGAAGCGAGGGTGCTATTCCCTCTGCAGAGGATTAAAATTGTGATGGCTTGTCTTCGAATCATCCTCAGGGATGTTTCCCAGTCCGTCGCCAGAAACCCATTGTGCAGCTGTAGTGCAACGTAATTTAACTACAGCAGCATTATCTAATAATTAAGTAATTAGAAATGGTTGCATGTTCTTTTGTGTTTTTGTTCTTTAAAATATCAGGGTTTTCACTGGATAAGGAAGATCTGGAAATGTCTGGGAATTTTATTTAGGGAGAAAAGAGTCGGGGTATGCAATGTATGGCCAAAACCTAGAAAAATTTTGTAACAAACCTTGAATATAATAATCAATTTTAAAATTGACAGTAACAATATGTAGTCAATGGATTTCAAGATAAATAAGTCCAATATCTATTATTTTTATTTATAATTTTTTTTTGTTAAAATTTTACTGTAGCGTAGTTGAATCTTTTTAGAACATTGAAAGTAGAATGTTAGTTTGTAAAAAATACTTTGTTTGACAGTTTATGGATTAAAAATTTTTCTTAAATATAACTATAAATCCAGATCAATAATAAAAGTTCTGGAAAATTAAGTTTTCTGTATAAATAAATGTTGGTTTTTAATCATTAATAAGAAGTTTGATAGCAGACTATATGATTGATATGACTCTATTAATAAATTATGTTTCATTGAGTTTTTCAGTTTCTAGTTTTTATGCAAAATATTGATTTTGTCTATAATTTCTATTTGTGTAAAACCCTTTACCTAGGGAAATAAAATAGATTTTACCAAATTTAATATTAGACATATTTGCTATTTAAAAGTGAGTTTGAATAAAAAAATATATAATATTTCTAAAGAAATATTGTTTTGTATAGCAATAATATAATCTTGAAATTTTCTCGAAAACCAGTTAGAGAATTTTAATTCTATAACTGAATAGGAACCTTGAATATATTTTAAGTATAAAATCTCCATTTCTGTGTCTTGGTAATATTTTTTTCATTAACAGCAGAATCAATCATTTTTCACTTTGCATTCAAACAAAAGTTTCTACGCTAGAATTTTGAAACAACAGTAAAAGCAGGCTCGAATATTTTTAGTATCTTTTTCTTCCTAATTTTTAATATATAATATTTTATACATTGTGTGTAAAACATTTTATACCATCAATAATAATTTTATAATCAACTTTAAGAATATTTTATTAATTTTTGTTCCTTGACATTAATTGTATGTGTACCCATCCATATATGTCTTGACAGGGCTCATGGGTTTCAGGTTTATAAGTATAAGTTAAAATAAAATGAAGCAAAGTATATTTTCTATAAGAGTAATTTCTTAATAGTTTGTTGAAAAATGTTGCAATAGATTTAAATAATGCATCTAGAAACTTACATTTTCATTCATTCTTCGAAATAAGGAAACATGTATGCAAAAAAAGTCTATCATTAAGGTGTTAAAAGTGCTGTAATCACACAAGCATATTAATGCTTCTGTACATTTCATTAAATCATTATTTATTAACTATTAAAAAAATTGTTATCTTGTTAGTAATTTTTTTAATATTAGTGAAATGTTTCATTGCTTTAAATGTATATATTTTCTAATAGTTTTCGTTAATTTCAGAAGAAATTTGGTGTTCCTGCTTCTCAGGCAGCAAATTGTAACATTGCAGAGTGTAGAAGCTTAGTCAAAACTTTAGTATGCGCAGCAAAAATAGTTATTTGGGGAATAACGGCTTGCAAGTTTTCTGGCGGTAAACTTTATTTACACCTTCCTAGAAAATTTTGTTTTAGTATGACTATAGATGTATCCATAACCTAAATTAAATGTTGTAAAATGTGATTTTTTTTTAGTGAAATTTTAAGCTAGCTTATATTCCATGTGATGTGAATTTGATATCAGAAATAGTACTTAAAATAGATTTTTTTTAAAGTTAAATTATTTTTCAAGTGATTTTTATGGCTTTTTTTTTAATTTTATGGTTCTGTTTATCATGAAATTCATGTTATGTTTAACAGAATTGTTTCTTAATTTCTTATATTTTTTTTTTAAATTTCAAGTTGATATCAGTTGAGTATATTTTTTTTTTAAATTTCAAGTTGATTTTTAATATTTAAGAAATAAAATTATTCTCATTGATGAATATAAACCTTTACATGTAATTTTCTTTATATTTTTAGGCTATATTTGGCTTATTTTTGCTTTAGAAGATTAATATTAATTTTAATTCCAAAGGGATATTTCAAACTGTTTTACATATTCCTTAATGTACATGCTTTATTGGAATTGCATTAAAGCATAGTTTATCAAAACTATTTAAACAAATTATTTTTAAAAAGTAGTTTTTTAATTTTTGTTAATCACAATGAAAAAAAATATGGTCAGAATCGTACCTTTTTCTAATACCATTAAAATTGCATGTATTTATGATTTTATCAAAATCTCACTTTGGCTAGTTTTTTTCCCTTTATTTTTGCTGTTCGCTGTTGTAACCCATAAAAAATATAGCATATAACTAGTGGCATACTTTCTTAATCTTTTTTCAACTTTTTTTGTGCTATGTTGCAATGCTTCTGCAGTCACCATAGGTGTAAGAATAAAATTTGATAGTAAGATATTCCTCTGGTAAAAATTACATAGTTTTCAAAATTATAAAAGAGTTTCTAAGATTACATTCTTCTCAAAGAAAAAGTGAATGTTGTTCATATTTCTTCTATCATGCTATCCTCATAAAATTTGAGTTATTTCTTTTATCATTATAAAAATTAAAAAGAAAAAACTACATTATTTTTTGTGTTTCATGCTATTTCTTTACAAATTAAATACTATTTTTGCCTGAATATTTGACTTGCCATTACTATTTTTTTAATATGTGTTCCCTATCAAATTATACGTTTAATTTTGTTCCTTTATTTAAATTGTTTCAGATTCAAACACTAATCCAAGTAAGCAGTACCAACATAAAGAAACTCTAGTTTTTATTAGATTGATGTATGCTCTACAGTCTTTGGATATTTATACATTAAAAGTCCCTACTCCTGGACAAGCTGTTCAGCAGCGACCAATGACGTAAGTATTGTGTCAATTTGAATGCTTCTCTTATTCTAAATTAATTTTTCTCCAATAAAATTTAGACCATCAATAGGTCTGCTCATAGAATAACCTCATTTTTACTTATCTTGTCTTATTACTTATGTGCTTTTATTTATTTTTATTTTATTATTATTGTTATAATTATTATTTTGTTTTTGGTACTTTTTCATTGCACCGGCTCTAGTAAATTTGACTATTTTTTTTATTTGTTTATTTATTTATTTGATTATTTTTTTTAAAAAAAAGCTGTAAAATAAAAAGAAGAGAAAATAGTTTTAAGAACAGTGAAAGAAAAAGTATATATATAGCATAATAAATAAAAACAAAAAAACACAAAGAATATTAAGAAAAACAATAAGTTTCATTTATTGTGCATAAGCTGCAAGTAAATATAACTCATATAAGTTCAAAATGTAGAGAAAACAAGGGGAAAAAAGAAAAATAATAATAAAAATAACAAAAAACCGGGGGGGGAGAACAAAAAATTTTAAAAAATCTGTAAAATAAAAGATATAATCTTTTCATCTGCGCACATGAGTATATCCGCAAAAAAGAGTGCTTTCTAATATTGCCCGTTTTCCACATAATTTTAGCCACACATTTGCCCGAATCCGTGGCCAGAATTATTTACTAATAACTTTCTTTGTTAATTTTTTCCATATGCAAATCCATTTCGGGCAAATCTGTGGCTAAAATAATTTACTAAAAAAATTTCTTCGTTAATTTATATAATTTTTCCATGTGCATATCCATTTCGGGCAAATCCGTGGCTAAAATTGTTTACCCCTTTTTACCCTACCCTACTTTACCTTTACCCTACTTTACTTTTTTCTTTACTTTGCATCTTACTCTTTGTGTAACACTTTATACTCACCCTTGTTTTCTCTACATTTTGAACTTATATATATATATTTACTGAATGATTTTTTGTGCTACTTAAAAAAAGAAAAAGATAAAATGGCTAAATTTATTGCTGAAATCATACAGAAGCAAATTTAAATTTTCTGGCTTATTTTTATTATCATTTTATACAGTATATGCATAATGTTTCCTAAAAACCACCAATTTTTCAAACCCTCTTCAAAAATTCAGGAGCAATGAATCAGGTTTGGTTGGAAGAGGAAACAAAGTGGTTAAAGACAATTATTGGAACAACCTTCAGGTTTCAACCTCCAATTAGACCTGTTTTGCTGTTGATTCACTCTACTTATCTCTGCTGTAATTTGTCAAATATGAATGGCGTTTTATGTATTTTCCTGGGTTAAATATTAATTTGCAACACTTTTTTTTGTTGTTGCTTTTACTAGCATGTTTGATAAAGAGATTTAAAAAAAGTATGAATTAAGGGAGGTTGTTAAGAAAAATTCGTAAACATTTATTAGCTGCAATCTGATAAATTAAAAATTAAACAAGCTAACAATAATTCTGTCTGTTGTAAAAGAAAAAACTCTTTCTTAATTTCAAACTAATATTTTTAATTTAAATGTATTTCATAAACAAAAATGAACATACATCATCAACAGAGCGGGTTAATAAATTGTTCGATTTTTTTTTCGATGCCGTTTCCATGCCTTTGGCACATTTCCCTCTCCTCCTCTTTTCATTTGTATAGGAATGTCTTTTCTTAATATTTTTCTTATTTAATTGTTCAAAATAATTTTATGAATTTCCATCACGCGTTCTTTTAGAACTATGTTTAATGTAGTTTTCAGTTCCATATAGTTTCCTAACTTAAAAGATTTTAATCTAATTGAAAATAAAGACAGAAACTTCCTTCTTCTATGACTCTCCACACGCTAATGGTGAAGGCATGCTAAGTGTTGCCATACGTAGAGAGTTCTGCTCTATGCCACCTGTAGCCCATTTCGATCGCCAATAGAATGGGACGATTTTCTGTAAGGCATGAGTGTTTAAGGAAAAAAAAATTATAAAAATAAATAAATAACTAGAATAAAATTTTTACTAATTTTGAATTTTCGTTCTCAAAAACTCTTTGGAAGTGTTCAGATCAGAGAGATAATGTTTGATTGCAATGCCTTCCATCATCAAAAGGAAATTCAGTTGAAAAAAATTAAAGAATAAAAAGACCATATTTTTAAATGTTTAGAATAAAAGTATTGGAGGTGTAAGCTAAGAATGCTATTTTTTTAAAGCTTACGACACTTTCCATTTTCCCGCCACTCCATTTCGTCCAAATTCTTTTTTTGTTTTTTTTTTTTTTTAAGATTAATTTCCTTGTTGAAATAGGACTCTGTTTCTTTCAAATACATTTTTAAAAAGAATAATCATACATAAAGTATTGTTAATAAGTTTTTCTTTAGGGAACAGCTTCCAGGGGTCTGTTTAGAAGAAATTTGGGTCCGTTAACGAACCCTTCACAAAATATCTTTTCATAAAAATGGACCCTTCACAAAATATTTTAAATTAAAAACGGACCCTTCAATTTATCTTTTAATCAAACACTTCACAAATTTGTTTATCTTCATTATTGTTTTGTTAATCGAATAAACCCTTTCCAGGAAGGGGGGGAGAGAAAGACAGATGTAAATGAACTAAATTTTGTCTTCGGCAGACGCTTCTTCCTTTATTCGTCCGAAATTAATATTCTGCGTTCAGCATTATAGGCTAAATACCAAATATTTATATGTTGCATAGCTAATTTAGTAGCTGCAATTGCTGTTTATTTTTTAAAATTTAATTTTTTTAATTATAATTTGTTGAGCATAATCTTGTATGTCTTTGCAATTTAAGAACTCCTTGAAAAAGTTTTTTGCAATAACCGGACCCTATTTGCACAAGTTCATAAAAGCAGGACCCTGGTTGAAAGAATGTTACTTAACGTTTATTTTATGCTCACAAATTACGAGTAATTTTTTCACAATTTTACAAAAACGAACCTTTCACAAAATGTCTGGACAGACCCCTGGCTTAATTTTTTTTTAACAATTTTGAAAATCATCCCTAATATTATGATCTCTGTTTTTTTTTCTTTTTTTTTCATAGTTTTTTCCTTAGCTTTTTTCTTCAATAAATTAATAAATACAAATTTAACCTTTATTAATGCTGTTTGGAGTTTCCTTATGAATACTTTGATTAGATTTATCCTGATCCTCCAATCAATATTGTTTTTGTATATATTTGTCCCTATAGTTTTTTATTATTATAGTTTATACCATTGTTACATTACTTTTTAATTTGAGCATGAATGATCATAATGTTATTTTTACTTTGACTTCTGTGCAGCATACTCACATCAAGCTTACATGTTTTTTAATTATACTTTCAAACTAGTTTTTCAAATTTTTCATTCTAAAACAATGATTACAAGAAAAACCATATATTTCTCTTTTTCATGTGTATGCATTGCCTTGATTTAAATAAACTTGAAAACAGAAGAAATTGTGAATATTTTTTAATATAATACTTTTACTTTCTTAGGTTAAAAATAAATCTGTTTAATGTGTAAAATATCAGTCCGAAGCTTTTCAAAATGTAAGACTTTGCAATCGCTAAAAAAAAATGACAACTGCCTTACTCGATGGATATCATGACACATCAATATTTCCTATTTTTCATTGTACTTGATAAGTTGAAAAATTGAACCAATATGTCAAAAATACTACATATTATATGCTTTTTTATTTGTTCTCATGAAAATCCTTTTTTTTTCTCCTTGCTTATTTACAAACAATTTAAAAAGAAATGAAATGATTTTACTTCATTAATTTTTTCCTACATTTTTATTTGTTTAGAAATAATTTACAAACGATGCTCACTATTTACTGTAAACATTATCCTGGTGATGATGCAGACATGGTTGCAGATCAAAACAAAGCTATATTTGAAGTTGATCAAGAACTTGTACGACAGCTGACTCAACCAAATACATGTGTTAGAGATCAGAGAAAGTATTTTTAATGTCTTTTTCAATAACTTTAATAGCAAACAGATTTATTTCTTTAGTTTTAATTATGTAAAAAATTAAATATTATGAACAAATATATAAATTAACAAAATGATCAAATTCTGGATGTGGCGATTATTTTGAAGGCGATGTAAGTAAACAATTTAAGTAGATTTTGTTGATTTTAACAGAAAACAAACTTAGAAAGTGTACTTAACCTTACAATTCCATTTGGGATAGGTGATGTTGCTTCGATAATAATTGTTGACGATATATGTTGAAAATAAAATAAATCATAAATGATTAAAATCAGGAAACGGAGGACTGTACAAAATTTTTATTTCATAAAATAATAATGCAGAGCTCTTTTTGTCTATTTTACATTTAACATTTTAAGAAAAAATAATGTATTGTGAATAATGATATAAATACGAATAATCCATGGGAGATAAACTCACTATGACCTGTCTGATTAAATGTCAGTTACGAAGTGCATATTTAATTGTTGGTTTGGAATACAGAAAGAGATCCATTAAAAATGGACAAAGCCAAAATTCAAGCCAATTGTACTAATCTCACAATATCTAATGTTAACATTTAATTAAGCTGGCTAGAGATTTAATTCCAGGAAGTTCATTAAAAATCAAAGTAAACCTGTTAAATTGATTTTGGTACACAGTTGGGATGGAATTGAATTATATTTGTTTTAGTTGCATGAAATTAAAAAGTTAATTGTTGCATTTATGAAGAAAGAAAATCATAGAAATTTTTTCTTTATAAAATTAATTGATTTTTTATTTGTGAAATACATTCTCATTTTTATTTATGGAGACTACTAAAATAAAAAAGATAAAAATTTTCAATCATTTTTGAAATTTTAACTTAAAACATTGAGAAACTGTGTGAGATGATTGATAGATTGTAGCTTGTAATTTTTATTTCAAATACATTCTTAGCTTTTATTATCTGGGTAACATTGACAGCCTCTAAACTGTTTTGTTTAAGTTTCTATACATATTTACGTGAGTTAATTCAGTTTGAATATTTATAGGCTATGCATTCATTGAAAGTAATTACAGAAGTTAGAAATGCAAGCATCAATAATATTATTTAGCCACATAAAAAACTTCTCGTTGGTTATGTTCCATTGCGAAAACACAATTTACGACACCAGCCTGTGCTATCTCAAATGGGGTTGTTAGGCGGGAATACTTTCTGCATCACTTTAGAACCTTGTCTTTTCTCATATGGTATGTAAAAGAGACCTTTTAAAAGTTCTATTAATATTGCTTAGTTATATAAAACATATTAATATTGCTTAATATTATTTACAAACAATATTATAACTAAAGAACTCAATATTACTAACTCAAATGGTTAAAAAAAATTTGCAAATTTATTACTATAAAAATAGGACAAGAACCCAATTTGTCAGTTTAATATCAAATGAAAAGTAAATAAATTTAGATTAGAAAACATCAAAAAAATAAATTTATTTAAATTGATCTTTGCAGTTCATTATTTTTTATTTCTTAACATTATTTCTCAAAACATAATCCTTGTCTCTGAATTAAAGGGATAATAACGATATATCATAAGAAGAATAATTTGAGAAGATTGATATTTCATTTAAAACTCATCAGTGATCCTGTTAGATTTTTGGAAGCTATGGGTCCTTAGGATCTAGGATCCCTTACGCTACTAGAGCCCTTTTACCCTCTCTTAAACGAATTATTAACATTTCTCAATAATTTTGTCTTTCAGTGCACAGCTTATTATTTTATTTCAGTTAGTATACATTGGGGGGATAGTAGTTATCAACAATATCAATCTTCATCTATGTAAAGGTAGCTCTACATAGAATCGAGTTAACATGTCTTGTATACTAGTGAATTAGAATTACAGTCGAACCTGTTTATCTCAAATCTCACGGGAAAGGCAAAAAATTTGAGATAAAGAGGTTTCAAGTTATACAGGTACTTATAGTATACTAATTAGGAAATTCTATTAAAAGTGCTTTAAACGTTTTTAGTAGAAAAATATCCTCATTTCTTTAAATTAATTATACCGCATACATCTATTTACATAACATTTCTTTAACATACATTTAACACTGAAAATAATTTTTCCATGATTTGTGACTTATAACCTTATGTTGTTTAGACTATTCTTTTGAGATTAGAAAGATCATAAATACATCAAAGCCAAAATTTTCCTGGGATTCAAGAATAGTTTATGAGAATTCTACAGCTTTTTCTACTTCTTTTGCATTCACTTTTGATTCATCAATATGATCTTTAGCCTCTTCATCTGATATTCCATTGACATTATCTATGATTTCCGCATCTGTCAATGTTCCGCATGTTGCCAGGCAGTTGTCCACTTGTAAATATCTTCAAAATTAATGTCAACATTAAAACTAGAGTTTTTTTCCATTCCATTCTGGTAAATCTGGCACTGCAGTTTCATCATCTTTGCTGATGCCTTCCACCTCTTATTCATCATCTTCTCAGCTATTCTTAAAACCAGCTCTATTATTAGAAATTCGAGAAACGGAGGTTTTAAAAAAATATTTCGACATAAACATGGAAAATACATTGACTTTAGACAGTAAATATTGGGAATTTTAGAAATTTTCAGTTATAGAGGTTTTTGAGATTAAAAGGTTCGAGATAAACAGGTTCAACTGTATATATATGTAGTGGTAGATACACTACCGTACTTCCCTACCAGAATTATGTCTGTGATAGAATTCGACGAAGGGACGCAACTGAATGATTCATTACTGTTTTGTGAGAAGCCGGAAGAGCTGTATTAAGATCATGGTTCTTTTGAGTGCTGATCAGGAGACAGGACAAAATCGTTGGCAATAGAAGTTATCTCATGAGAAGAATGTCAGAGTTAAAAAAGTATTGTAAAAACTGTAACAATTGTTACTCCTGTTCAATTAGGGGTATTATAAACCTAAATTTTCCTTTCTTTTAATTTTTTAAATTATATTTTTTATGAACTAAGGAAATGAGTATGTAAATAATATCCATTCTTTATACTGCAAACCAAGTTTACTTAGTCTTATTCGCAAATCTTATGAAGTGCTCATTTTTGTGCCCCCGTGTAGGGTAGTAGGATATTTTATACAGGATTGGAAATTACAAGAGTGAACTCTTATATTAGTAGGTAGCTAACTTCTTTAAAAATTCTAATTCGGAAAGTTTTACAAATGTTACAAAACATGTATTTTTTTTAAATGGTTATTTATGTAATTTTCACATTGGCCATCAGTTTTCCCTTGATGAAGCAAAAACCTTGACCCTAGTAAGCAGCCGAAAACCAAATTATTATCTTTTTTTTTTAATTCTCTAACCTTGCTATTTAAACTCTATCCTCTACATTATGTTTTTTAGTTAAAATGTTGACATTTTTGAAAATTAATAAATGTTGACAATTAACTTACATCAGCATAGTTAAAGAAAGTAACATTTTTAAAAGCTTGAAACCATTTTTCAAGGAGCGCATGTCTAACAATACTTTGCCGTTTCATATAAAAATAATTTGGAACAATTTATGAGTTAGTTTATCCTCAGCATACACTCACATAATTTAAAATTCGATGTTAAAATTGATGAGTTTCTATAAAAAGAAACTGTTACAAACCAACTGAAATAAAAGAACTGATAGAAAAATATACATAAAAGTTTTTTACACTAGACTAAATAAATTATTTATAATTAATAATCACAATATAAATTTGGAAAACATTTATTTGTTTCGTATAATTTTTAAATTTAAAAAGAAGAAGCTTTATGGCATTTATCTAATTTATGTTTTACAAAACTATTTACTTAATACTTTTTTAATACTTAATAATAATACTTTAATACTTAACTTTACTTGATACTCTTACATAAGAACTCCAACCTTAACGGAGTCAAATTAATAATCTGCTCGTTCCCTTCCTGTCCTGTAAGATGCATTTCTTGCCCTTGAGGTGGCTGCAAGATAAATGGGCTTAGTTATAAATGTAGAGAAAAAAAATATATATTATTCTCAAGAAACAGAGTCCCATTCTCCTATCTTGTAATAGATTCTTATGGATTTGAAACAGTAAGGAGTTTTATTTACTTAGGATCAATTATTACCATTGACAGCAGAATGTCTCCTAAAATTAAAAACCGACTCTATTTGGCAAATAAGGCTGAGAAGAATTATTAAATCTAGGTTTCTTTCTAGGAAAGCAAAGTTCTTAATCTACAAAACTCTTGTCCGGTCAGTCTTGACATGCGCTTCTGAAGCTTGGACAATGACAAAACTGGAAGAAAAGTATTCGCAATATTTGAGAGAAAGATTTTGTGGAGTATACATGGTGGTGTAAATGAAAACAATTACTGGAGAATGAGATATAACTTTGAACTATACAAGATTTATAAACGACACTATACAGTATAGGACCTNACTGGGTGTGGCCAATTTATGGTCAAACAGAGGAGGGAAATTCGGGGGCAGTAAAGCACAGCTGTCAAGATTGATTGATCAGTTTTTTCCAACTTCCATTTCTTTATTTTGTTCATTGGAAATGCAGGTGTTTTTACTTTCCCCTTTCACTTTATTTTAAACTGCTTTAGAAACAGATGTTTCCTTTGACACTGATTTATTTTTTTCCTGCTTTTTTTTATTTTTAAAGATAAAATAAAGTTACTTGCTTCAACAGAATAAAATTCCAAATAAAAAGAGAATATAACTGATTTTTTTTCCTCTTATCAATTAAAATTTCTTAAAACAAAAAAATTAGATCGGATTAAGTGCTGCCGGATTAGGGGTCCCATACTGTATTATTAAATACATAAAAATAAATAAAATAAATTGGATGGCCCACGTGATTTGAATGAGTGATGACAATACAATAAAAATGATGCTGCTTTTTAAACCAACTGGAGCAAGAAAGTGAGGAAGGCTATGGTTGAGATAGGCTGACTCGGTGGAGTCTGATTTTCTTGCAATTAATAAAAAGAATTGGAGATCAAAGATAAATCGGAAGTCCTCGTGGAGAAATCTTCAGAGGAAGGCATTGGCCCACATTGAGCTGTCTGGCCAACTATGATAATGATGAGTAAGGAAGGAAGACCTACAATTTCGTTATGTTGTTGATTAATTCAAGTTGTCTGTGTAAATAAGTTAGAAGTTTGTTTTATTTTGAATTTTATTAGAAAATGTTAAAAAAATTCCAGTTATTCAAATATATTTTCTGGTTTATCATTCTCCAAATTGTTTTTAATTTTGAAATGTACTGAGCTATGCACAGTAAATTATAAATAAACATCTCGCAAAGGCATAAAGTAAGCAATTACTTTTAAATCTGTTGCTACAAAGAGAAAAAAATAGAAATTCAAACTTCTTTTATCATTTGAGGAAATTTTTAGGGTGGGCCCGGTGGCGGAATTTTTTCTGGCTTTCTGCGACAAACCTAACTAGAACCAATATCTTTCTGCAAGATATTTTTATCGTTATAAATATATGTATAATGAATTTATAATAATAGATGCACTTCATGGTTATATAAAGGCATACATGCATAGAATAAAACTGTGTAAATTTCTTTTTCTTAATTTCATAATATAAGTTTAAATTTGCTTAAGTTTAAATTTGTATAATCTTATAATAAAGAAAAATTATAAATATATAGATCTGCAAACAAAAATGCTTACTAGAGCATAAATAAAGATTACCCAGAACCTGTAAGAAGATAGAATAAAAATAGCTAAGAATGGAGAAAAAGATTAAATTTAGATTTAGTTATCAGATTAGTATCAGCTTAAAAAAAATTTGAAGTATCAGATTAAAACAGTATGATTTAATGTTTTATTACAGTAGTTATATCAGGTGCGGAAACAAATCAGGTAAAAAAAATTAAGATTAAAGTTGAGTAATACATAATATAAATTATTTTTTTAATCATTTAAAGTAGGGGTGCACAACCTTTTTGAGTGAAGGGCCACTTGCTTAGCAGGTTGGCTAACGAAGGGCCGCACATGTATTTAGACATGTTAATGACAAATGTAGTAATGTTTATTTAATCATTAGCATTCCATTTTTTTATCAATAAACTTAGTAATATCAATAACTTAGTAGTGTTCCATTATTAGAATTCATTCAAAAATAAAAAAACTTATACTTTTTTCTTACAAAAAAAAACTTGCTATTTTTATTATATGAACAATAGATTTATCAAAATAAATAAGCATTGAAGAAAATAAATGTTTTTTTTTATCATATCATGCTATACGAAAATTCATTTTAGAATTAAATTCTAATAAATTTAAAAAAACTGCAATGCCCACAGAATGAAAGTAGGAAGAAGTTTAGTCATAATTAAGTAATATAAATTCAAATTAAATATTTTAATTGAAGAAAATTTATAGATTTTAAACAAAAGCCTAAAATAAAAACAAAACTGTGATAGTTCAAAATAAAAATCAATGCTTATTTTGTAACGTACTTTATTATTTTATTTTAATAATTATTAGATTTTTTTATATCGTAAACATTTTCTTTTTTTTATCGAAAAAAATCACTTAAGCAACAAAAAATTGAAATCTAAACTACAAACAGTGAGCAGTTTAAAAATTCACGTTTTCCGCCATTTTATGAATTTCTCTAGTTGCAATAACATTGCATTTAAATTAGGGAGGGATGTAACGAGTATTTGGCCCTTCTGTGAAAAATTCAGTTGGTTGAATGATCAGTCAAATATTTGGCAGAATATTTTTTAGAAATGCATTTTTCTAAGTTTTTTTTATTTTTGAATTTTTATAGATATTACTTTTTTTTTTAATTTTTAGTTCAATAAAAAGGTTTTTGTAATGAGTTATGGATGTCTAATATTACTGATTAAAATGATGCATTATAAATGCAAAATAAATTTGTGCTTTAATTTTTTTAGCCATCTTAAACTTAATTTTAAAGTATATTTCAATTTAATTTTGAAGATTTATTTTCATGTTAAGTTAAAAGAATGTTGAATCTATTTTTTTTATAGAGAATAGTTTTAGATTTAAAAAATGTAGAAAAGCTTAAGTTATTGATATTATTTATTTATTCTAGCTTGAATTTAATGCAGGAAATTATCTTCAGCATAGCAGTAGCCTTTAATAAAACTTGTGAGCCCAGTAAAAATTTTAATTCATTCTTTCAAAATATAAAGATAATAATAATAAATAAATGAATAAAATAAGTAAAAAGAAAAAAATACAAAACTAATATATTATAGTATAATTTATTAATTTTATTTTAATTGCATTAATCCAGAAGAGTATTCAAATCAAACATGTGTATTTATTTAGTTCCACATTACAAAAACAGGAATTAAATTTTATAAATACATATAAAAATAATTTTTCGCAGAATTAAAAATGTTCAAAAAAGATATCAACATTACTGTCTCTATAATCATTTAATAAATAATTAAAAAATGTGCATTAGAATTTCTTTTCATTTTGCATAAGTTATTTTTAATTCTTTAGCTTTAGTGAAACAAAAATGTCTAGTTTAAAGCTATTCGCTGAAATTATGTTGCTAAATTAAATTAAAATTTAAGTATAAGCACATAGATTCTTGAAAGTGTTGATTCGTTTTTGGGGTTACTGGATGCTTAACCTGAGATTTTTTTTCACCTGTTTCAATAAACAGTTTTTCCTTAGAAATGTATAATGCATTAATTTTACGATTTTAGAATTCTTCTTTGACAAGCAGATTTGCAGAAATTAGAAGAAAAAATAACAATTACCATATTTTGAAAATACTATATAGCAGGAAAAGGAATTAAAAATTATAAATTTGAAAATAAAAATAATTTCTACGTGGAGAAATTCCTATTTACTCAAAGAATAATATTGAGAATATGTATGAGTCTTAATGTGTGTTTAAATATTTAACATATAGCGAAGAAGAAGAAGGAAAAAAGAACTGCATTATTAAATATTTACTTAAAGAAAATCCTTCAACTCCAGTTAAGGAAAAAAAAAGAGGCAAAATTAGATTACATTACCTGATTTTTTGAACATTAGCACAAAGATTGTAAACGATGATGGATAGAATTATTTTAATGTACTAGATTTATGAAAACACTGATTTGTTTTTATGCTATGCCGAATAATAAAATCATTCACCTTATATCTAAATGTGTACTACTTCTATCCAAATTGTGACTGATTTTAATTAAGCTATAGGGCTGCAATGGAGCATTATTTTATTTTTTAAAAAAACTTAAATAAAATAATATTAGTGCTCTGTCCAGGACAAATTTGCTACCGTTTAGCTGTACCTTCACAAATTCAACTTAAGGAAAAACTGTAATTTCACAAAATACTTTTTAAAAAACAAGTTCCAAGATTCTCTACCCTCGTCTTCTTAAAATTTTGTTGTTATATCCCTGTAAAAACGATAAACCCTCTTTTAGTTACGCATTTCGATTTGAAATGGAACTTTTCTAACTTATGAACTATTATTTTGAACATTATTTTAAATTTATTCTAATTAATTATTAATTTTTTTATGAAAGATTTTTTTTTCTCTGTGAAACTTTTTTCTGCATGACCCAGTCGAAAATGTTCTCATAAAATGAAGATAACGTTTAGTGCTAGTACTGTTAAATGTATGTGTTTATAAAATTCAAGTTGAAACTGTGTATGGATAATGATTTTTATGGATTTTTAAATTAGGATACAATTTAAAGTCCAAAATTTTACAATAGCAAAATTGTTTTTGAACATATGAGAAAAATTTATATAGAAATTTACCAGCCATAAATAATTTTTATTTGTAGTATCAATTTTTGAAATAATTTCTTATTTCACCATATTTTTGTGTGGGCTTTTTAATATACTTTTTGATTTTCACAAATTATGTCTACATTTTCGCAAAATAGGTACCACTTTAAAAAGCTTAGACAGACCCCTGAATATTTTCTGTGAATTTTAACACCATTGATTTTACCAAAGAAGAAAAGTTGATTCTCTGTGAAGAGCTGCATAACCATTTCTTTAGTTATTTTAGTGATAAATGTACAGTTAGAAGTTTTAAAATCTTTCTTCTATTTTGGACACCGTAAATTCAATTCACAAAATTTTTACTAACAATATACAAAGCTGACTGTTGATACAAGTGATATCAGTGAATTCATCAATATTCAATATATCAATTCTATAAGAACATTGAAATAGCCTTAGCGGATGGATGAGGTATATTTCCATTCAGCACATGCGACGTCATAACCAATCAGAAATAGTTTTTGATTGCATCCACTACGGAGGCCTTTGTGGGCAATTTAAACGTTTAATAATTAAATAAATAAGCATTTAAGGAAAAAACACTATTAGATTTTTTTGTTCAGGAGAGAATTTTCAGTAAGTTAGGATTGAAAATAAAGAAAAGAGATGTTGTAATTGTCCATTATTTATTTATTCAAACTAGGATTTTTGCATAAAAAATTTTTATATTTGCCTGTATATGACTTCTCTGACATCTTCTATACCTTCCAAAAATTAAATGATATTTTCTTTTTGTATAAATGTTAAATATTTTTAAAATGTCTGCTAGGCTTGTTCTGCTTTGGAGATCAGATAACCACCAGGGAAACTCAAGCACAGTTCTTCAGTCGATTTCTCTTACAATCTTCAAAATATTTCTTATATTCAAACGGTAAAAGAATTATGCTTATTGAGGTGAGACTTCTTTATTCAATTATTTAATTATCAAACAAGGAAATTTTTAGGAGTGGAAACTAAGATCACATTTTATTTAAAAAAATTAAATTTCTGTGTTATTTTTAAAAAAAAAAAAATTTAATCTCATTCCTGCATTAAGGCCTTTTATTTTAATAAGGAAATTCATTTTTCTATGGATTGTTGACTTTTCTTTAAAGATGCTTCATAGTGATCTTGTGTACATTTTAAAAACTAAGTTTACATTATGATGAAGATAATTTAATTCATTTTCTGTTGTATGAAAAATGATAAAATATTGTTAAAAACAAACATGAGTTACATTTTTTAATAAGTTAAGTGCTTATTTAAAATGTATCCTAAAATACAGACTATTATTATTATTTTAAAAAAATGAAATTCCCCCCCCCCCTTTCTTCTATCAGTGTTTTCACTACAGCGCGAGAACGCGAGAATCTCGCATATTTTTTTCTTTTCTCGCATTAAAAAATGATTACCCCGAGAAATTTGCGCATTCTATAAATGAATTTCAAAATTCGCCAATTTCTCGCATTTTGGAAAAAGCTTCGAATTACGCCTTTTAGAATAAAATCCGTTTCACTTTTCTTCCTGGATCTTTCATTATTTTCAACATCTGCCTCATTATCTAGCCTCCCTATTTACCAGTATTGTTCAGAAACTTTTCGAGCAACAGAACAGAACCACGGAACCCCTTTCAGAACACATTTCTCTGCAACCACGTGTTTACCGTAGGTAAGGTTTCTTCATGTAAGATGTTCAAAGTTTTTATACACTTATGTAAGATGGACAAATACCTTGTAAAGGCAAAATCTTCTTTGATGATGGACCAAAAATATTCAATGCTTTAAAAAATAGAAGACGTTAAAAATGTATTATAATTAAAGAAATGATTTTTTTTTCAAGAGTTTTTGTGTTTTTTTAGTTTTTAGAAATCTCACTTAACTTTTTGAAATCTCACCCTGTTTTTGAGAAAGGGTGAGAAATTCTCACCCATTTTTTTTCTATGATGAAAACACTGTTCTAATAATAAAAAATTGTAACTTAATGTTAAATGTTTAAAAAAAAATTTTTCACACTTTGTATAATTTTTTCTTTTTAGAACACAATTCTATAAAATGTAATACATTGAAACAAAGAACTCAGATAATTGTTCGTGGATATGAGAGCAAAATTTTTTTTTTCACCTTCAAGTTCGACTTAAAACTGTTTCAAACTTTACTTGTCAATGAGATTGTTGTAATAATTTAAAAATTGAAGGAGTCCTCCCTTCTTCCCAAAGTTGTTTTGTTGTCCATGGGGACTCAGAAATACAGCACAAAGAAATTATAATTACTGCCCACTGGAATGGTATGGAAGTTTCTAAAAGTTTAAAAGGCGAAGTAGGAAAGATAAATTTGTAGAATTCACTAAGAACCTATTCACCTATTTGTAAAATTCACTTCTTACCAAAAGTGGCTTATAGGGTTTTCAATTTAATCCCTGAACTGTCTTGAATAAAATTACTAAGAAAATAAACATAACAAAACAAATGTTTTTCCAACTGCATTCTTCATTTACTGATCTACTTGTAACCTTTCTCTTATTATTGGATTGCAACAATTTTGTTTTTAATGTCTTGTTTATTATCATAGGTTCAGTATTTGCTATGAAATGTAATTTTAAATTTGAACAAATAAACTAGGAAAAAAAATTAAAAATTGAAAAATGAATAAAAATAATTATAAGTGAGACCATCACATTAATTTCAAACTAATTATTAAAATTTTTTATTTTTTTGATTAACAGTTTGAAGCAGATGAAAATTTTAATTTCCTGTTTGTTTTTTTACCATTTTTTGCACTCCTATGAATTTGTTATAATTGTTTCAAAATGTTTCCTATGTTCAAATTGTTTCCCATGATTCAAAAATTGCTTTTCATCCGTGATACATAAAGATAATTTATGGTAATTAATTAATTTTCAAGTACATTTTTCTTACAAATATTATTGATGGCTGCTTGTGACAAGCTTTTATATATAACAGTTTATTGTGTTAACTTTTTTATATTGGTCTTACTCAAAAAAGTATCAAGTTTAATTCTTTTCTTCTAATAAAAATACTTTGTCGTAATTAATTTTTATTAAAAAAATATTTATCTAAGTTCAATTATGAGACTTCAATTATTTTCTCCGAATATTATAACTTTGGATTTTGACATGCAAATAGTTTCCGATTATTCATACATTTTTTTATTTAGTCATTTTTAAACATAAAAATGTTTCTGAACAGTAATTTTTTCATAATTTTCTAGTTGGTTTTATAAATGCGTTAATAAAAATTACTTGAAAACTATTGAGTTCCTCATTAAATCATGTTTATAGTTTATGTTTCAAATAAATATTGTGTATTATTAATTTTATTTATTTATACTCTTTCAAAAATGCACCAAATACTTTTCTAAGTTTTTTTTCTCCATTAGGAGTTTCCAAATGCTTTTATAAGAGATCCGACACTGCTTCATTGCATTCTAAGGTATATTTGTTTTTTATTCATTTGTTTTTACTTTAGATTGAAGAATTCATGTAAAAATAAAGAGAAAATATATTTTTATTTAAAATTTGAATTAATTCTTAGAACAACTTTGTTTCCCCTGTGCATTTTTTTTCACTGTCAAATATTTTTGGCAAATTTTTGCTGCTGCCGCTTTTGTTACATGATAAAAACTAACAAATATTGGAACCCTACTAAACTCAAAATTCACTTTTATTATTGGGATACAAAGTTGAAGTGAATTAAATCTTTTGATTTAAGTCATGTTTTAAATCAACTATATATTTTTTTAAGAAAACCGCTGATTTGAAATTGATTTTTTTAAATAATTGAGACCATTTATGATTAATCATTAGGTCGAAAATATGTTTGTAATTACATTCTTTACTGTGCGATGCTTTTTAAAGTCTGATCTCATTGATAATGAAGGTTTTATCCAAAAATATAAACGGTTTTATCCAAAGGGTAAATTATTATATTTCTAAATATACTAATAAATAAATAAAATTAGAGACTGAAAGTGGATAAGAGTAGTATCAAACTGTTAAACTATAATTTTCCACTAACTGTATGCAAAACAATCAGCTAGAAATTTAACATAGTTCAATTATACCCATTTAATTTTATGTTTATTTGAATGCCTTAAGTGTTTTTAAAACATATTTACTGACTATTAGTGTTTAAAAACTGATAACTATTTTGATAAAATATAGCCCAGAGAAACTTTCAATAATATTTTTCTTTAATGTGTTCTGATATTAACTATTTTACTCTTCATTAGGTATCTAACTGTCAAATTGCTTCCCTGTCCTTAAAAGTTTAGATGTTTAGTTTGTAATAATAAATTTTTATTTTATTTTTTGAATAGCATTTGAAATAGAAATATTAATAGTTTTAGCTATATTATTGTTTTAAAATTGCACTTTTAATTCATAACTTATTGTTAATGTATTTTATCAGATAATTTGGCTAGCATATATAATATTTTTTTTATTTAAATAAAAAAAAAATTCTATTTAAATGAAAATTTGATTTTAAAAAAATTTGGCAACTACGTTGGGATTGTTATTTATTAACATCGCAAAATATACATTTCCTAAATAAAAAATATGGAAGATCAGGGGTGATTGAGCTCCGGAAAAAATCTGGTTTTTTCGCTAACCGCGTTTTGAAAGTTTCCGCAAATCCAAAGTTCAGAAGTTTCAAGAAATCATCGATCACATTTATATATAAAAATTCTTGTATATTTTATTAAAAAAATTTTTGAACTAGAATTTATACTTGGCATCTCTTTCATTTTTAAATATTTTTTCTGGTAGAATAATAAATGTGATTAGAGATAAAAGTAAACTTACACATAATTATTCATTTAAATTATGTTGCATATAATTCATTTAGAATATCATGTTTTGAAAATTTCAATAAATAAAGATAATTTTATTTTATAAAGTAAATATTTAAATTTATAAAGATATTAATTTTTTTAATGATTTTACTCTAGAAATTTTCAGGATTTATGAGTTGGGCTTACAATCACCCCTGGAAGATCTTTATAAGATTTTTTTTTCTCCTTTGCAAACATTTTGTTACCTCTCAGCCACAAGTTTCATAAAACTATAGCACTATATATGCACAAATCTATGTTGATGTTTGTTAAATGTAAAAGGTGAAAGTGAATTTAAAATATATTATGAACATACATAAAATGAATGCTTTTCTATGTTCACATTTGTGTATAGTGTCTGAAAATATTGGAAATTTAATTTACATTGGTTTTTACATTCAAAACATACCAAAATGTTGCATAAATATGAAAACATCAAATATGTTTGTTGTCGAAAATATTATTATCCTTACTACTGAGTGCTTACATATTTTCATTATTTTAAAACAAAGTGTTTGTTCTCAAAAGGAGGTACGCTGTTCAGTCTTATCATCCAGTAATTTTCATCATTAGTGATAAAGTCTTGAAGGTTCTCTTTTGCCTAAGGATTTGCAGTTTTCTTTGAAAATCAAAAATATTAGGTAAATAGTTTTATTGTAATGCTACTTTTATGTGTATTAAACAGAGATAGATCAGGGAACAGATTTTTTACTGATACACTACAATTTTTATGTAATATATTTTTTTCATCACCTAGTATTTTGGATTTGTTTTGTTGGTTTTGTAACATAACGTATTTGAACATGTTTGTTGACCACTATATAAAATATGGTAAATTTTAGGATTTTCAGAAGAATGGAGTGCCTAAAAATGAGCATTTCTCAACTAAAAATACAGTTAACCGATGACAATTGTGAGCCTCCGTTATCTCATTTGACAAAAGTAAACCATTTTTAAACCCTAAGCACTCTCATAATTACAAAAATATACATTTAAAAATGAGAAGATATTGCCAACTAACATCAAATGATTGCTTCCCTATTAAATAAAAGTTGGCTTTTTTTTAAAATTAACACATTTATAAATGCAAAAGAAAAAGTTTCAGTAAACAGTTTTACTGTTTATTTTATTAATGCTTATTTTGTATAAGTATCTAATTTATTTTGTGTTATTGAAAACTATGAATTCAACGAATTTTGCTTTAAAGCTTTGTGTTTTACATGTTATTAATAATTTTTTTGTTGAATACTTTTTACTTTTTTTTTAGTTTTAATGCAATTGCCCCAACCTTGATGATGAAAGTGCTCACAAAAATTAATAACTCACCAAAGGTAAGGTGTCTCCTGCATTCAACTTCAGATCTCATTGAAGGAGACAAATTAATAAGTTTCATTTCTTTTAAATTTTAGGTGCATTCCTGCTACAAAAAACTAAGCAAGTCTGAAATTGAAAATATTGTTGGGGATTCTTTGGGAGATATACGGAATGCCATAAATTCTATGCAGTTCATGTGCATGTCTTGTACGTTATCTACATAAGGATTCTAATTTTTATAAACATATGATTCTTCATTTTTCGTGTTGCAAAAACACTATGCGTTTGATAAAATTATCTTAGGATTGACTTTATGTTTATTGCATTTTTAGAAATAACTTAGAAACATTGTTTAAGTTTATCATATGATGAACTTCCATTATATGTTAAATGTTATAGACTTTCTTTAATGCATATAATAATGATTCTAATTTTTATGTAATTTTTTATTTTGTGTGTGACAAAAGCACTATGGTTATGATAGGTTTATCTTGGAATTGACTTTTATTTATATTGCATTTTTAAAAATAGCTTAGAAACATTGTTAAAGTTTATCATATAATGAACTTCCATTATATATTGGACTTTATAGACTTTCATTAATGCATTTATTAATAATGATTTTTATGTGATTTTTTAATTTGTGTGTCACAAAAGCACTATGGTTTTGATAGTGTTATCTTAGATTTGACTTTTATTTTTATTTAATTTTTTAAAATAACTTAGAAACTTTGTTAAAGTCTATCATATAAAAATAAAGAAACTTTAAAGTTTATTCCCTTAAATGTTTATATATTTATAAGATTTTTTTTTTTCAGTTAGCACAAAAACTTTTTAAGTGCATGAATAAATTGTTACAGAGTATTGAGTGTTATGAATATTGTTTGCAATCAAAGTATGAAATTGGTTTAAACAAATTTTAAGATAAAAATTTTAGGTTAAAGCTTTAAAATAATAAGTCAAAATGGAAAAGTGCTAGAAGCAGCTAAAACCAAATCTGTCTTATGTAAACAATTGAAATAAAAAATTCGAAACCAAAAATGAGCAAAACTTTAGTTTAGTTAGTACTAAAAACTGTTAGTACAAAAACTTTTAGAGTGCAAAAAAAAAAAATTATTGAGGAGTATTGAGTATTATGAATATTGTTTGCAATCAGAGTATGAAATTGGTTTAAGCAAATTTTAAGATAAAAATTTTTGGTTAAATTAATAAGTCAAAATGGTAAGGCTCTGAAAGCAGTTAAAAACCAAATCTGTCTTATGTAAGCATTTGAAACAAAAAGTTAGAACGCAAAAGGAAGCAAAACGAAATTTTAAAGATATGTATGTTAGCAAATTTTTTCGGTTAGCATTTATTAACACACATATGTTTAAAATTTCCTTTTGCTTATTTTTGCTTTCTAACTTTTTATTTCAATTGAATATTGTTTGTTTATAAGGAGTAAAAGATAGCTTTTTAAACTTGCAATACACTTATTACATAGTGATTTAAAAAATTTCAGAAGCTTTTAGAGATATGTTATCTTAAGCATTAAATTTTTTTAATGTTAAAGGAGAAAAAGAAGAAATATGTGAAAAATCTTCAGTCGAAATTAAACATATATATTTTAAGCATAAAAAATATTTGATAAAAAAGAAAAGAAACCTAAATTATTTATTTTTTAAAACAACAGAACTCTATGAACAAACATTTAAAAATATTACATCTAAGTGAAAGATTCCTGAAAGAGAAAAAATATTCTCGTTTGAAAGTGAAAGAGTAAAATTACAAAAATTTATTCAATAATTTTTATTTAAAAATATCCAGAAAAAAGAAAAGAAAATGCAGTCAAAGTTCACAGAAATAGGAAAATGACTGAATGACATTAAGGTTGACTTTCAACTAAAGAAATTAAATGTTAACAGAAAACGTAGAAAAAGAATTTGTTTTTCTTTATTCATTAAGTTTTTGAAATTAAAGTTATATTTTTTTCTGAGATTTTAAAAGCCACTTAATATTTTTTTTGTCATTTCTATTTTAAATAAGAGTGCAAATATTATTTTTATATGGATTTCATGGCTGCTATAGATTCTTGGTTGTCATAATTTAAAACATTTTGAAAATTGTGTGAACTACATGATGAGGAAAAAAAAGCAAAAAAGCAGAACTTGTGGGATGCTTAGTTTAACACTTAACTTTGTTTCTCTGAATGAGTGATATATTCAGTTTATTGAATGTCTTAATTTATAAAAATACAGCAAAAATCATAAAACAATAATAACATATTGTGTAAGGAAAGATTAAATAAAATTTTAATTGTTTCTTTCTCTTACTTTCAAGAGGTGCCGACCGGACTATGTAGGGGTCAGGGAACTGACCTTGCACCAGAAAAGTTTTGGGTTAGAATCCCATGCAAAGCATGGATGTTCTGTAGTATCTGTCCTTACTGTGAGAGCAACGTTGGCCCACCTGATATGGTACCCCTGAAAGAGTGGCCGACAAATGTGCACTGTAAATATCTAAATTGACAAAATGTTAATATGGGTGGGTATTGGAAATAAAATTAAAAAACTTTTCAGAAGTTTCATATTTATTTTCACATTAAATTTGATGACTTCAACTGCAACTTTTTGCACTTTAAGGATCTTGTATGGGTTAGCATTTCCTTTCGTTGATGTTTATTAATTTTCTTTTTCAATTTTAAAATTATCAATATTTTTTTAAGACTTTAAGAAGCCCTTATCTGTGCAAGGGAGTGTTTCTTCTTCTGAAGATGGTAGTAAAAGGGATTCCTCTCTGTTTCTATTTCATGCATTGGGAAAAATTCTTTACTCCAAGCATAAGTTTAGTTTATTTCCTATGGGATTCAATATTGATTGTGGTACTTGCTAAATAACTTAAATGCTGATATTTATTTTATTTAGGTGATGCATCAAAGAAATCAAATCAAGATGTACTTCCTACTCATCTGAAAATGTTTGAAAAGGATCCTCTCATTTCTTATCCTGAAGTAAAAAATTTAGAAATAAATACTGTCATTATTCAAATCTAAACTGCTTTCAAGTGAAAGCCACATTCCAAATTCTTTTGTTTCACATAAAAAATAGGTTTGTTGTTGTTTCTAAAGCGACTTGCCATACGGGCAAGCCTGCTTGGTGAAACCAAGCAAATTTAAGGCAGAGTGTGCGATTCTTGTTTTTTCAGTGGCGCCATCTATGGACAAGAATTCGACTTCTGCCACACCATACGTCGCACCCGTTTATAGGGCGGACCCATTCATACATCCATTCATTCATCCACAGATCGTAATTTTTTACCTAAATCAGAGAACGATCGATCTCCAATCCTGTACCCCCAGAGGTATTGATTTGTTATGGGAACATGGAGAACTTTGCGACTCGACAGATTTAATGTGCATCAGTCACCATTTAATACACGGGGAGTCTTCGGCCGGCGGGGTTCGAACTCTCGGACATGGAGCCATCTTCCTACCGACCAATCTATCCTGGCCCATGAGTAATATAGTAATAGTAAAAATAGAGTAAAGAGTTTTATTGATATACACTTATGACATAAAAAGGCCGGGATAGCCTGGTTGGTTGGGTGCTAGACTCACGATTGCGAGAACAGAAATTCGAATCGAGCCATGGATTCTCTGCTTAGTAAATGGTGACTGGTGCACATTAAATCTGTCGGGTCACAAAGTACTCCATGTCCTCATAACAAATTATACCTCTGGGGTTACTTGATAGGAGATTGATCATTCTCTGCTTCAGGTCAAAATTACGATCTGTGGGTGAAAGAAAGATTGTATGAATGGGTCTGCCTTATAAATAGGTGTGACATATGGGCAGTTTTGTCAAGGACCAGTAACCAATCACCCCAGATGGCGTTGTAAAATGTCCTAAAAATTTAAAAATACCCAAAATTTTAAATATGTATAAGTATTATAAAATAGTACAAAAGTTAAATAATGTATAGGAAATGTTGCTTTAATACTTTTTAATATTTTATTATCAAGAAATTAATAATGTGCTGATAATTGAAAGAAGGATGAACAATTGTACTATTAATTTACCATTAAACTGATTTTTGTGTTCCTAATCTTTCTTGTACTTTTGTGCGTACTTCTTTTTTTGTTTATCCTTTGTCATTATTTTTAAACCATGCACATTAAAATTTTTAAATAATTTGTATTCAAATTCACCAAACGTACTGGTTGATCGAGTTCAGTAATAAGTTACTACATTCAACAAAGGGGTTTAGTTCTAAAATTAAATCTTAATCTTTTTGTTTTGGTTTAACATTGATTTTCATATTACCATCTCACACATTCAGTTATAAAATTTGATATTAGAATGTAACCAAATTGAAACTAGTAAAATTCACAAATAACCCTAAAACAAACCCCTAAAAACAAATTCCCCTAAAATACCCACTGAAGATAAAACATCCCCCTAAGTTTCGGGGTAAAACACCTAATTTGGCAACACTGCATATGGGTGTGACAGAAGTCAAAATTCTTGGGCATAGACTAGAAAACAAGAACAATCACACCTCCAGTGCCTTAATGGTCAACAGCATGGAATTTTAAAAAAAAAAAAATTAAATGAGGACTAATAAGAAGTGCTTTACCAGCATTAAGAACTTATATGGACCTATAATTTCTCAAACTGTCAGTATTATGTTCTGAAAAAGATTTTGTCCTCTCCCACTATTACATTTGATTTCAAGTGTTTCTTATATGATGTCATCTTTTGTGCCATACAATGCATTTGTTATGTGAGGTTTTTGTTAAAACAATGTATTCTAGTCAAATTAGATACTTTTTCCCACCCAACAAGTATTCATCCTGAGCTTTTGACTTACAAATTTTTGCGCCTTCGATTCTAGGCTTCTTCTTAGAGTCGAATATACAGGTATTTATCTATATAGTCAACACTTGATATGGGGACTCGTACGGTGTGGTCTAAATGAAATTACTCTTCTAAACATGAAGTTGCTGCATCATAAGTACCTAAAATTACAGCAAGTATTTACTCATAAATGCACAACTTATTTTGACAAAAATATTATTCTTCTGCTATTCTATCTACTTTGTTCTAAATTTTTAATTTCTCTTCTAAGCATATGTTGTTATGCTGATTACTAAAATACATTTCTGCTAAATAACATGCGTCCAGATAGCTCTTAAATCTAAGCAATACTAAAATCAAGAAGAATACAAATACCTCAAGTTTTATCTTTAAAAAAAAACTTAACAAAAAGAGAGAGTTCAAACTAGAAAAATATGAGTCATGAATTTATTGAATCCTTTTTAAAGAAATTTACTAATGGTATTAATGTATTGCAAGCAGAAGACTTTTCTGTTTTGATGTGATTTTCTTATAAGCATCTGGCTAGCCTCATGTCTAATTGTCTTCAATAGCTAGGTTAGAAAAAATATTTTCTAGCTTTAGATTTTTTTTCAATCCAAGCTGTGCAAAGGCACTAACAGCGCAGAAAAGTTACTTTTATGTTCAAATATTTTAACGAAAAGAAATGAGTGAATTAGTGTGGTTTTAAAATGTTAGTAAAATAAAAATGACCTGATACTTGAGCTAGATTCTTATGTATCGGTGACAGTAAAAACATTTAACGTTTGAGAACTTTTTCTTCTCTTTGCCAATATTTTGTTTAATTTTTATATTGAAAATATACTAAAATTTTGCATGTATATGAAAACATCAGATATTTTTGTTTTCAAAAATATTATGATCTTTACTACTACTGAGAGCTTTCATATTTTTGTTAATTTAAAACAAAGTGTTTGAAAGAGCAAAAATGTTTAACACTTATTTTGGATGTGATTTTCTTATAAAAAAATTAAACAAAAATGTCATGTTTTATTGGAATGAGCATTCAAACTTTCTAACAGACATTAAAATAACATTTTGTCTATGGAATAGATGTATTGGTTGCAATGCTATATCTGCCTAGTCTCCAGTTTTTTAACGAACACTCCTGTACTTTACAACTATCTCCTGTTATTCTCAAATTTTTCCGTATTTGCTGACAAAAATTTTTTTCAAAAATTGTTGATAAAATAACCGCTTAAGGCAAAAATACTTCTCTTTTTCCTCAACGGATAGTGCTATTGCCAGTACTGCATAATGTTTAGTGTTAATAGCTGTTGATAGTTAGTGGTTTTCCTCTCCATCTGGCACAAATGCGAGTTAGTTCCATCAAAAAGTTCTCCCGGAAGGTAAATTCCTTCCAATACTTGATCCAGGATTTCCCTTGTCTTCTGGGTTGGGTTCAAAATTACAAGGCTACGGAGTCGAATATTAGTAACCATATACCCAGGATTGGGTTGGCTGTTTAACAACAGTTATAGAATAGTTTAAGTAATTATAAATAATGGTTTTAAAAAAAATCTTCTTTAGATTAAGATTTATATACATATGTTTTACTTCGCTAAATGTAAGTGTTTTTTTTTTAATTTCAATTTTGAATTTTTCTTTTTGACTTACATGATTATGCATAATGTTTCAAAACATTACTCATAGCCTAAAAAATTTCGCTAGTAAAATTTCCACTATTTTATTTCTCCAATGTTGGCAGGTATGCAATGCATTCTGTATTTAATAATTATCACTTTAATTCATTTGCTGATGTTTACTAATCTTGTATTGTATTATTTTAGGAAGTGTTTGATAATCTGCCGAAGCTTTTACTTTGTTTTTGCAAGAGAATTATATTCCCTTTGTTGATGATATTGAAGCTAACTTTGAATGTGCACATTGGTTAAGTGAAGCTGATTACGTCAGCACTCTATGGAATGTATGTATCACTTTTTTTTAAACTACTATTAATTTATTTAAAAACTTTGAGAAATAGTGTTCTATTTCTTATGTATCTTTTAGTTCACAAATTTGAAGAGTGGGAACAGTAACCCCCAAAATAATTCTCTTTTTAAAACCAAATACTCTGTTTTTATATTTACATTAGCTTAAATTTCAATGGAGTGCCCATTAGCTTTTCCAAACTTTCCTCAATTATAAAGTAGGGCAAAATTTTCAATACCCAAAGGCTCTATGATTGAGGAATTTTTTCCTTAGTCCGTAGGGCACTGGATCCATGTTCAAGAGGTTCTGGGTTCGGTCCCTGCCGGCCAAAGACTTTCCGTGTAGTAAGTGTTGACTGATGCACGTTAAATCTGTCGTGTCACGAAGTTCTCTATGTTCCCATAACAAATCATTCCTATGGGGGTACTGATCCAGAAATTTCCTTGTTTTCTGGATTGGTTCAAAATTGCAAGGCTACGGAGTTCAACATTAGTAGTTGTAAACCCAAAATTAAAACGGCTGTTCAACGACGGTTATGAAATAAAATAAAATGTTGTATGTTGAGCCGCAATGACTCAGGGGATAGAGCATTCGCCTTCCAATGAGGTGAACCGGGCGCAAATCCCAGCAATGACTGGTTGATACAACTCCGAATCTTGCTTGCACCAACCACAGTGCTGACGTGATATATCCTTAGTGGTAGACGGATCATGGGTTACTGTCCCATTGCCATCAGCCTGTTCCTGGGGGTTCTAGTGGTCTTCCTCTCCATGTAATGCGAATGAGGGTTAGTTTCATCAAAAAGTTCTCCCGGAAGGTAAATTCCTTCCAATACTTGATCCAGGAGTTCCCTTGTCTTCTGGATCGGGTTCGAAATTACAAGGCTATGGAGTTGAACATTAGTAGTCCTAAGCCCAAAAATTGGGTCGGCTGTTCAACAACGGTTAAAAAATGAAATAAAAGGAATTGTTGTATGTTCATTAAAGAAACCATTTGGCTGAATCAAATTCTTGTTTCTAAATCAATTTGTTTCATGTCAAAGGTTTTATTGGGACGTTAAATTTTTTTCTGGAACAGAAAGTCATGTGACATTTGATTTATTTAATATACTCCAGTCCCTAATCTTGGAATCACTTGTTCTAGTTGAATTTTTATTTTTTCTGTGCCATGTGTAATTTAGTTAAGTAAATTCTTAGCTGTATAATTTGTCTCATATTCATATGTCTGAAGATATGCATTATATTTTTCTTCCTTTCTAAAAATTTTCGAATTAGTCTTAAGGTTATTAAAATTAAATTTAATCTTTATTTCCTAAAGAAAGACTTAAAGAAAAAGTAATCACATAAAAATTATTATTTCTTGCTCTTCTCTTTTATCTAAAGATGAAATGATCTTTGCCTTTATTTGCCTTTATTTCAAAATATTTAAAGAACAACTTATTTAGATATTTAATTTATTTATTCATTTTTTTTTGTGGGGATCTGGATTAAACTGTTTTTTTTTCTTCATAATTTTCAGGGTTCCCGTAGCTCAGGGTAAACTTGGAATTGTTAGGGAATTTTTTTTTACTCTAAAAATCAGGAAATAGTCAGAGAACGCTGCATTTTCGTTATAAAAACTTGGAAAATTTCTATATCATGCCTGGAAAATAACCAGTCTTAAAATTGTCCGTAACAGTAATCAGTTATTGAGATTAAAGTTAAATAATTCTGACATCTATTATTCGTTATAAAAATTGCACATTTTTGTCAAACTGAAATAATCCCATCCTCATTTAATGACATTTTTTTACACAAAAAATCAAATATTTCACATTACAGATAAAAGTATCAAAGTTTTCTGAGGAAAATATGATCTTGATTTTCATTGAAATTTACCTGGTATACCTTAAAAAGTCACAAAATTTTTTTTTTTTAACTTTAATGGAAACCTTGATTTTGCGGTGAACCGCAATTAGCAACTGATGAAAAGAGTACTGATTTGAATATCTTAAAAATTTCAAAAATCTCAAGCAATTTTCTAAGTAATTTTTGTATTTTTTAAAAGAAATCACAAAAGGTTAGCGTTTTTCGCAAATTTTATTTTGTAGTCTCGTCTATTTTTTCCGACATCATTTTTAATAAATCTTGTTTTATAATATAAAATGAAACTTGTGGAAAGACCCTTATCATTTTGAGATTTCTTTATTTAACTTAGATAATTTTCATTAGTTGCCAAAATACAATTNTTCGCAAATTTTATTTTGTAGTCTCGTCTATTTTTTCCGACATCATTTTTAATAAATCTTGTTTTATAATATAAAATGAAACTCGTGGAAAGACCCTTATCATTTTGAGATTTCTTTTAAAAAATACAAAAACAACTTAGGAAATTGCTAGGCACTTTTTAAATTTTTAAGATATTTAACTTAGATAATTTTCATTAGTTGCCAAAATACAATTCATTACAAAAATATGAACTTTTTTTTAATTTTCTGTGTGTGCGCAATATAAGCGAGCTACTTTAAATACTCATATCTTAAGTAGTTTTTATTGATTTTTTTTTTTCAAATTTTAAATCCATATTTTTGTAAATAATTTTGAATTTCTCTGGCAATTTTGTTTAATTATATTAGATATTGAAGTTATAAAAAAAAATTTAAAAAACATACGACAAATAAATTTTTTTTTTAAATGTCTATAACTCCATAAATATTTAGTTAGGTTCATGAAATTTTATGCTGTAATTGCAAATAACAACCAAAATAATCTATACAAGATTCTTGATTGTCTTTCTGGCAT